ATTTGGTGATATGAAGGGGTTGTTGTGAGCTGCGAAGTGTCGCAGCTCAAGTAGCTGTCGTGGTTGTTTGTAGCGAGGGATGTGGTGTCGGCGTGGATTATACTTTAGAGTGTTTGTTATGTTGGAAGTATAGAAGGATGTCGATCGGCCAAGAAGGACGGATGTATGTATGTGGGTAGATTGGGGGAAAAGAGGGACGAGGAAGTTAGAGGGGAGAGTGTCGGATAAAGGTGTTTGGAATGAGGAATGTTTGGTCCCTGGCGGGAGCTGCTCAAGATCAGTCAAGACCTCAAGAAGCAGACGTTGTGTTTGGCCAGGCTGTCTGTTATCGCGGACTCGAAGATGGAGGATGTTCGGCCAACCACATAAACCGGTTAGGTGGCCGCAACGCCGGCCGGCTTTACTGTTCGTCCGCGACCGGGTCACGTGGGTTCACACTATATGGGGAGAACCAGAATAAGAATTCATAAATTGTATACAATAGTCGCTATCAACGCTCATTGCTAGCTAAAGTAAAGAAATAAACTGTGGCAAATTCCCCGCATCCTGACTACGAACCCACCGGTGTCGATCATCCAAGCAACTACGGAATATGCACTTTTATAGCGCGGGGACCTTGACAGTTGATCCAGACCAAAGAGACTAAAGGGAACAAACGTGACTCGTGATGAAAATGAGCGATCGTCATAGGCTTAACGTCTCGGCACATCAAATATTTCGTTTCGCCAGGTCCGTCCCAGTCCCTGACTTTCATCGCCCTCTTCAATGGCCTCAGGGGCCCGGGAGGCTTCGTCATGCCAGACCTTGACCAAGCTGCCCGGGGCGTATACACCCTTGAAGACACCGCTACCAGGTGGCTCAAGGCCAATACGAGTCTCGACGTCGGTGTCGGGAAGCGATTGCAGCCGTGCCAGCACTGCCCGCACGAAACTTGCCAGGTCCCGAGGGTTGGCAATGCGTGCCGCTCGCAGACGTTCTCGAGCAAATACCAGCTCTCTATTGAGCGTGAAAGCAGCCTGAACAATGTTCTCCGCGATCTTCTTTTCCAAGACTCGGCGGACTAGGTGCTTAAGGAAAGGCTTCGTCAACCAGATGAGCCACTTCCACTTGCTGCGGTGGACTTTGTAGTCCAGCTTGTGGATCCGCACACGGACACCGCGCAGAGTGAAGATGTGTTCCAGCCGCTCTCTTCCAACCTCTATGTCCAGGGAGATGTCAATACCGCGCTTATCCAGGTAGAAACTGGCAATTCCCTCATCCTTGAGGCCAAATAGAAGCGCCGAATGGGTCCGCATCCAATATCCGAATTCCTGAGCACTAATATTCAATCCACATACTGTTGCCGTGAATGTGGTTTTGAGATCAGTGGCGGTTTTCTTGGAATGCTTTTTCACGATGTCGATGTCATTGCGCGTTGTAACATGCATCCGGTATGGCAAGAATGAGGAATAATTGACGGTGCGACCGGGTTCCAGAATGAGGCTCTCCAGTAACAGATCGACCTCTGGTGCAGATATCTCAAGTCGCGGGATTGGTATGTATTGAATAGTGCGGAGAACTAGAGGAAAGAAGACTTCGATTAGGTCGGTGGGTAATTGGCCTTCTCGGCTATTGTAGCCGTCCCAGGCATCCTTGTATAGCTTGTTAGTCGCATCGAAGAGTTTAGACACAGCTTTGTCTTGCGGAACCGTCCGCAGAGCCCGTCTTGCTTGTGCCAGGAATGCATCCACATCCTGACGGATACTGGATCCTGTCTCAATTTTCTTTGACTTTTCTTTGAGCTCATCAATCTTCTCTTCGGCCGAATCGAAGAATTTTGGATCAGTCAACATCTCCTCGACCAAGGAACCTGTTTCAGAGACGAACTTTTCAAACTCTGGATCTTTGTTCGAGTGCTGCATTACAGCTTTGAAGCGCTGCTCTAAGGTTTTCCATTCCTGAGCATCGCCAAACGACTGAACCAGCAACCAGAAGTGTTCCATTGCCTCCTTGAGGTCCTTATTGACATCGACTTCCTCTTCTGCTGTTGTGACGACATCCGAAGCCGCACTTGCATACGCTTTGGCATATCGCCCCAGCAGTTGGCCTAATGTGGCAACCGAGTCTGTATAGTCAGAACGGTCCCGAAGGTTCATCACGGTCTTCTTCAATCGATAGAGCAAGGCGTCTTTTTCCTGTCCCGCTAAATGCTCTTTGGCACTCTGGACTGCATCTTTTCCGGTGCGAGCAACACCATTACCTGCGACTTTCGCCACAGTAGCTGCCTCTTCACGTAATTCTTCGTTTCCTGCAGAACGGCCTTCATCGGCGCCTGCCCCCTGAATAGCATCTACATCTTCCTGAGAAGGTTGAAGCTCTTTTCCAATCTGCTGCGATGTGTTGGACAACGAGAATGCCGTATCGGAAAAGATCTGGCGGCCGACAGTCGACAAATCATCGACGAAGAGCCGGAAGTCCGCGTTGGTAAGGAGTAGACTTCCCACGGTGCGCAGGCTATCATACGCTGGATCACCATTGTTAGCTAACTACTACTTGATGCCCTGTGGAACCCACAGCCTGATGCATGAACAGAAAAGAACGGAAGTCGGTACCCGCTTTCGTATCCGCCCTTGCCTTGGTTTGATTGGCTCGCTGCTGTATCTTGTTGGGGTCGATGGACGCCCTGGAGCGTGAGAGGTGCCACAAGAACTCCTGGAGCTTATCATCACCATTCTTCTCTTGCAAGAGCTCGATGAACACTTGGATCCAGAGGCGGCAGTCGCGGACAATCTGACGACCGACGGTTCCAACATCGTGGGTGTGAGGGGAAAGGACATCGGAAGCCAACAAGGTGCGCAAATTGATGATGGCTTGTTCAGTAGACGGCATGTATCCATCCGAAAGGGCACGGATCATCTGGTATGTGTGTAATTTTTGATGCAGGCGACGCTGGAGGGTCGTGTCCTCCCGGTAGCGAGGGAGGAGGGGCTCCGTCTCTCCTTGCGGCATGATGAAGGATGCCTGGCGTACCAGGATGGCTTAACAAAACACAAAGCTAGGTACCTGATGAGTATTGATGAAGATGAAGATGGTAAATGCACACCATGAACAGAGGGGAGATGGGGAGTATCTGCAAACCTGGCCGAGCAAACAATGGTGAAATGGAAGCAGGAAAAGAGGGGAAACCGGCAGCTGGTTAGCTGATTGCAAAGCTTCCCGGTTGTTGTTGCATGTCTCGATCACGGGCCTGCGCCTAATCACCATTGCGTCACCGCTACTGGCCGGGTTCGGCCGCAGTCAGGTGACACGCCAGCATTGTCCTATCATCGCGATAATCCTTATTATCTTCCAATCATTGTTTCCAGTCCAGTCTAGATGTAAGTAATCAGGCAACAGATGGATCATCCCAGACGGAGCATCATATATGCCATTGTGCCCTGTACAAATGCAACGGTCCGGAGGTCTGACTGCGAGATTCGATGACGGCTCACTGATAGATACTCCATCGCATGATATCCTTATCTCAGACTTGACATTCTCTTGTAACCCACGCAAGGCCTATGTGATCTCAAAGTTGTAGCAGATGGTGTAATGCAATGAAACGCTGGCACCGCAGTCCCTCAACGACGTAAGGGCGAACGAGATCTCTGTTGCCTGAATAACTTGTACGAGGTCCGATAACATGGAGGTATGACTGTTACATACACCTGCAAGGTTAGCAACGATGGCCGCGGAGTATCGCAAGCTTCCCGGAGTCCTGTCCGATGAGTCAAGTATGGCCACAGTGCCACCACGCCAATTTTAAGTCAAGCAGTTTGGCCGCTGTGAGATACAATGGAACCAAGACTAGGAAAGCATCGTCACACATATAGACGACTAAGCCAACAGTAAATAGCTCTCAGATTCCAGTGGGTATGACCTGTATCACACACTTCATGGGCTAGAGTCACCCAACTTCAATCTTTCTTCCATCAGGCGCTCAATGCGGGAGGTGCTTGGAAGCATCTGAGGTATAACCCGCGGCTAAACCGCTGAATCCAAGGAATGGAAGGATCAGCACCAGTCAAGCTTTGTGATCCATGCAGCTCGGGTCCGGGGCTGGTCGAGGAACTGCTGAAGTGGGTAACCCGGTCAAAACCTGCATGGTTGCGTGGATGGATGCGCGGGATGAGGTACAAACTTCAGCCACCGTGTCAAAAGTGAGGGATAAATTGGACATAGAAAATCGCTCGAATGGGTATCAGGGTCCAATGGCTTAAGAAATCGCTCAGGACAGCCCACGCTATCTTAAATTGGCTGAGTTGGAGATCAACAAGAGTAGTAGTAGCTCACACACGACTACAATAGTAGTAAAGTAGTATATCGGCAAGAACGCCAATGGGAGTGGAGTCTGTAACCGAATTCTATACTTTTGACTAGGGAGGATATACTTAGCACTAGCAGTGCACAACAATCATAATTCCATAGTAATTGATCACTAGCTCAAAACTAGACACGTTTAGCTCCCACGATAATTTCACACTTGACAATTAATAATGAGACGAGCCTCGACCTCGTAAGCTGGTCGTGTGCAGGAGACGAAATTTTGCGTGCTTCCGACGGAAACAGCACGGTTCACACCTACACTACTAATTATACTACACTCCACTGCGAGAGAGCAAGTCGAGTAGGAGAGGACCAATCATGAGGGAAGGGTTACTGCTTCAGATATTATTCACTGGAAGCTACGGAAGATTTTCGCAGTTTCGCAGGAGGCGACTCCATCGGATGCTCCATCGGTCGGGACCGATCGGCGAGGCGCAAGGCCGTTTGAAGTTTCAGACTATTTATTATTGGGCAGCCAGGACCGCGGAATTTGGAGTCAAAATTGGAGACCCGACAATAAAGAATTTTTTTTTACTCTTCTCTTTTCTTTTTTTTGCCTGACCTTTATTCGCGCATTTCTGATCGGCGCAGTCAAGTAATGCGCAATGTGTTTCGAAGGGTAGTCTGGGATGGGGGCGACGAGCTTCCTTTTTGCATTGCGTCTGCACCACGGAGTATTCCGGGTACGATTTCACCCTTGCTAGGAATACTCCGTGGTGGATGGGATCAACACACACACCGGGCAATACGAGTCAATGTCGGGTGACAAGCCAACAAGTTTGAGGGATTTTATGAGCTTTGGCAAAATTTGAAGATATTCGTAAATGTGTGTATATCTGGCAATCGGCCGACAGGACACGAAACACAGGTGCGGTACTACTACCGACACACACTGATTCGTGTATGTGAGTGTGCGTATGCGTGTGTATGTGTGTGTGTGTGTGTTCTGGTGCTGGCTTTTGCAGCCGCTGACAAGACCCGAACTCGGCCATTGTCCGGGCCGCGTTGCTGCGGGGAATGTTAGCGGGACTATCTTAGACTAATGGCTGGCACAGCATGAATAACATCCGGTCCAGAATCCTTCCTGGTTCAGTTAGATCGTCTGGAAGACTTGGGGCCTGGCAGTTAGCTTAGGCAACTAAGCTGGCTTAGTGGGCGTAGTTTAGCCTGTTTCTCTGCCACATGAGACCCGATCCACCTTAACCACCATGGCTGGACCCTTTGCTCTTGTTGGCTTAGCGTGTGCTGCGTGATTCCGATGTCTACGCTGAATTCTGACTAAATCGGGTCCACCATCCGACCAGCAGAAAGAATGGGAATCGGGTTTGCCATCTCGGAAATCGGGGCCCGTAAGACAGTATACAGTATAGGGTATAGACCTCCGTCGTAGGGCGGACGGTGATAAGAAGTGTTGTCCTGGACTTAAGAGACTAGTCCACCGTAAGCAGAATATAGTTGTTGATAGATATCACATTCTTTTGGAATTGATTAACCCCCATGCTAGTTTCTACACTGGTAGATCTCATACTTTCGGCCGCTCGGAGTATAATTGTACTCAGTAAGCCAGTAGTCGTAGAAGGATTACCCGAAGTGCATCTGGATGAGCTAGAAGACTGACAAGTACCCCGTACAATCCAGACTGATGATGCTGGTGACTCGATCAGCTCTCTCAACTCACACCTCTAATTCGTACTTTATGCATCCCCAACAATACGCATGGATTATCAGGAATCCTGTTTGGTTGTGGTATAATTCTGGTATAGGTCTGTAATTATGATCCAACAAGCAATTCACAAAGCAAGAGGGATCCATATCTAGAACCATCTTTTACCGAAACAAGGGGGAACTTCCGTAGTAGGTATGTCAGCTGCCACCGAATCCCAACGGGAAAGAGAATTAAAAAAAAAAAAGAAAAAAGAAGAAGGTCCCTCTTTCCCCCCACTCGGACTTTAGAAAGAGAAGGAAAGTGTGTATTCCGTAGGAAAGAAGTGAGTAAGTGAGCGAGTGATTGTGTGTAAAAGAAAACCAAACAATTAGGAATTGAAACAAAATTACCGACAACAGCAACAGGAGTACAGCAACAATACCCAAAACACCTGGAATAAACACAATAAACACCTCAAATCGAACAGGTCGTGTGTGTGTCGTGTGTTGTGTTTTCGCTGTACTCGGTACTACAACGTAGCCGTCGTCCTGGAACGAGAAATACCTCAACTTTTCTCCTCATTATCTTCTTTCTCTTTCCCACCCCCCAAACACCGAAAATCAACATTTGGAAAGGTCCAAGCCCCTAACGGGATTTGTCAATCTATTGCGCCTTTAAAAAATTTTATTCTTTCACATTCAAAACCATGAATTGGAGCTGAATCAAAAGGACCAAAAACAATCTGTGCGTCTCAAATGTTTTTTCAATTTTTCTCCGCATTTGTCGGATTCGGAGCGAGCTCCCGTTTAGTTTACTCCACACCCGTCCCAATCTGACCCAATCTGACCCGTTCAATTTCCACCTTTCTCCCCCCCAAGCTTCGCCTTTTTTTCATAATTCCCACCACAGAGAGTCTGTGACCAGCGACCCAGTCGAAACGGTTCGCTGCCATGCAACCATTGTACCCCGATACCCACCGTACCGGTCCCGGTCATCCTGAGTGGTCCCTTGCATCCCGATTCTTCCCGATTGCTGTCATCCCTAATCAATCCACGGCCCTGGTTCATAGTCTTGACGACGACCTCGTTAGAAGATCACGACCGCTGTTGAGACACTTGCTTGGTTGAACTTCGGCATGCGGTGGGTTCTTACTCAGGGGGGTTCAATGCGACTAGCCCAGGGAATACATAAAATCAGACTGCCACCAGTCGTCTCCTCGCCTCAATTGATCCTCTCCTCCACTGCCATCACCTCTGCTGCCTCCTTCAATCTCCCCTCTTCTTCTGATATCGTTGGTGTTCGTTCCAAGAGTATCCTGGCCGTGACTCAGCCTTCCACCATGGCTCGATTTCCCGCTCAGCAAAGCCGACCGGTCCACGCGACCTCCTTGGTGAACCATGCGGCACCTGTGTAAGTAACCAGTCTTTTTGCCTCCCGTCCTTGACGGAGTCGTCTCTATCTACCCTCGACTCAGGTCACATATTATCAAGTTTTTCACTCCTGCCGTCTCTGTTACTGACAATGCCTTCCTCTACGTCTAGTGAGGCCAACTATGACACTGCCAACCCTGCCTACATTCGCAAGTATCTCCGCACCTACGGCTTGACGCCCCCGCGTGCGGAGTCGTACGAGACCCAGAAGACTCGCTGTGCGTATATCTGTAGATGAGGAATGGTGGTCGGATGGGGTTGGAAGCTAATGGAGTTGCAGGCCTCGCTCAATTGGCTCTCAAGCAGACCCCCATCGACAAGTTCCTCTACCTCAGCACTCTCCGTAAGAACAATGTTCACCTGTTCTACCGTCTGGTCACGGACCACTTGAGGGTAAGCCTGCAGCTGCAGAACCACATTATTGTAAGCCAATGAGCTAACACCACACTAAGGAAATGACTCCCCTCATCTACACTCCCGTCGTTGGAGAAGCCTGCCAGAGATGGTCTGAGATCTACCAGCAGCCCGAAGGTGTGTGGCGAATCCCTGTCTAGCGTGCTTATCACGGGCTGAATCGGCCGCTAACCATGCACGTCTAGGTATGTACCTGAGCTGGGAGGATCGCGGCAACCTGGCCGCTGTCATTGCCAACTGGCCCCAGCCCAACGTGGAGATCACATGTATTACCGATGGTTCCCGGATTCTCGGTCTGGGTGACCTTGGCATCAACGGCATGGGTATTCCCATTGGTAAGCTGGCTCTGTACACTGCCTGCGCGGGTATTCGCCCCGAGGCCACCCTGCCCTTGACTCTCGATCTGGGCACCAGCAACAAGGCTTTCCGGGAAGACCCGTTGTACATGGGCAGCCGCCGCGACAAGGTGACTCCCGAGGAGGAGCGTGAATTCTTGGATGAGCTGATGGCTGCTCTGACCGAGCGCTGGCCTGGGTAAGTGGCTCATACATGATCGACCCGACGGGATTGTTGCTTACGCGTTACAGTATTGTGATCCAATTCGAGGACTTCAAGAACCCTTTTCCTGCTCTGGAGCGTTACCGTGACAACTACACCTGCTTCAACGACGACATCCAGGGTACTGGTGCTGTCATCCTCGGTGGTGTCATCAACGCTGTCAAGCGCTCTGGCCTTCCTTGCAAGGACCAGCGCGCCGTCTTCTTCGGTGCTGGTAGCGCCGGTGTTGGTGTTGCTAAGCAGATTGTTGACTTCTTCGTCCGTGAGGGCATGACCGAGGATGAGGCCCGCGCGTGCTTCTACCTGGTCGACACCAAGGGTCTTGTCACTGCTGATCGTGGTGACAAGCTCGCTGATCACAAGGTCTACTTTGCCCGTACGGACAACAACGGCCTGCAGCTGAAGACCCTGGAAGATGTTGTTGACCATGTGAAGCCCACTATCCTGATGGGTCTCTCTACCATCGGTGGTGTCTTCACCCCCGAGCTCCTCCGCAAGATGGCCGAGTGGAACACTGCCCCCATTGTCTTCCCTCTGTCCAACCCCTCTCACAAGTCCGAATGTGACTACGAGAGCGCCGTCACCAACACTGATGGTCGCGTGCTGTTTGCCTCTGGTTCTCCCTTCCCCCCCATGTCCTACACCAACACTGCTGGCGAGACCCGCACCTACTACCCCGGCCAGGGCAACAACATGTATGTCTTCCCTGGTATTGGTCTGGGTACCATCCTCTCCAAGTCTGTCAAGGTCACCGACAGCATGATCTACGCCTCGGGTGAGGCCCTCTCCAAGGCTCTCCTTCCCGAGGAGATTGAGCGTGGCCTTCTCTACCCCGACTTGACCCGCATCCGTGAGGTCTCTGTTGTTGTGGCCCGCAACGTCATCCGGGCCGCACAGGAGGCCAAGGTTGACCGCGAAACCGCCCTGCGCAGCATGAGCGACGAGAACTTGGACGCCTGGATCAAGGCCCGCATGTACAACCCTCACACCGAGGTCTTGTCCTTGGAGCGGGAGGTTGGCTCTATCCTGGCTAGCCTGGGACCCAGCGCCTTCTCCCTGGAGGCTCTGACCGAGGAGGCCGAGAAGAACTCTAAGCTGTGAGCTTAGCTTCTTTGCTTAGCTTTCCGGCATCTCATTCTTAAAATACTGGCTTTGTTCTGTTTTCGAGCGCTTTTTGTTTCCCGGATCCTGCTTGGAAGGATGCGCTTTTGTATACCCCCATTCTTTCACGGATTCTGACCCCTCTTAATGACGATTCTGTTGTCGGATACCACCGATGTCGGACTAGTTTTGGTTAGCATAGATGCTGGTCTTGTGATGGATAAAACGGATGATTCAATGATCAGATCTTTTTTTCGGGCTATAGTTTTGCCTTTTCGTGGAATCCCGCTAGACTGGAACTCGTAGCTTCCTTCATCTTCCGACATCACCCCGACATCACCCTTGTAGTTATTACGGTGGATATCTGTCTACCCCATGATTCCGAATCGACCCGCTAGTATCCTTTTGGGCGAGCTTTTTTGTTTCCGAATCGGGCCTGAATACCCCTGCACCTGCAGTCAGCGTCATGTGATGAGGGGATTCATCTCCATGCGGGGAAGGACAACGACATCTGCCAGTGAGTCACCACCTCACGGCTTCACATGTTAGTGGTCCTGCTGTTGCTGATCATTCCAATTTAATTATTCTATACAGACAGAGTCTAGCCACATCCAGACGAGCGATGGTCAGGCTGTCCCGCGGCCAGACCGTGATATATGATCAGGATGCATCAACCTAGGCAACATGGGTCATTGGCATGTGAAGTGGGGATAAAATGACAGTCTCACCCCAGACGCAGGGTCTTCTCCATCACGGACCGTACAGATAAGCTTCTGCAAGCTAAGCAATAGAGCTGCAGCTCGTACAGGCCCTGTCAGATCGGCGATGGATTCCGCCGTCATCTCCCCGTCCGATCGGTTCCACTGGGCTGAAATCGGTAATTAGCCGGGGGTGAAGCTATAGCTCGATTTGACTCGAAAAGGCCCTGTCACAGCTGTCAAAAGGTGGTTCCACGGACGGATTACCCTGTATTGTCCGAGTGGTCGGGAGGCTGCATCCCGATGTCCGGCTATCTTGACCGTGGATATCCGGTCGTCCGAGGTTTCACGCGGGGGACCATTTTCCTCCGATTTTACCCCAACTGCGGATTTCGTCCCTCATTAAGCTTGACTGGCTGATGCTTTCTGATTAGCTCAGAACTGGGGTCAGAATGAGGGGATAGTGCTGTTTCATCCTGACTTATGATCTCTTCTATAAGCACGGACCGACTCGGCAATTATTGGAGTCGGCTCGTCTATCTTGGTGGTAATTAGGACCCATACAGCTCCAACTCAATGATCATTCTTACTTACTCTAATTTGTTACAAGTAGATGATGCTCTTCACATGCTTATTGTTGTGCTAGCAGCCGGAACCGATAAGCATTTGCACAGATCTTGGCTCGATGCTAACGGCTATCCCCACATTGCGCCATGAACACCTCCACGTGGATTCTGGCCTCGGCTGCTTTTTCGGGCCGCCGGTGACTTATCACGGGCAACCCCCAGTTTTTCAGGGTCGCATTCAGCTTTTCCTTTTCTGTCACCGGCACACACACTATGGCGTCCTTGCATGATCCCGTTAAGCTTCCCTGCGGGCTGGTCTTTCCGAACCGCCTAGCCAAGGTGGGTGGCTCAATTTCCCGGAAGCTTAATCATGATTTGTCTGACTCGCCCAGGCTGCGATGGCCGAGGCACTGGCCGGGTCAGGCAATGAGCCGACTCCAACGTTGCTGAAGGCATACGACCAATGGGGACAAGGAGGTTGGGGGGCTCTCCTTACAGGTAGCGACCCACTGTCAGCGCACATAGTACGCTTCTAACTGCAATATGATGATTAGGAAATGTCCAGGTGGATGTGGACCATCTCGGAAACCCTTGGGATCCTGCCTTGCATGCTGAGTACACAGGAACAGAAGGCAACGAGGCTCTAGTTGCACGCTGGAGCCAGTACGCCAAGACGTGCCAACAGCATGGCACTCGGTGTATCGTACAGGCCTGCCATCCTGGCCGCCAAACACCCCGGGCTGCAGGCCGTAGAGGCGTCTTGGCTCCGTCGATTGCACCTAGTGCGATTCCTCTTGATATGGGTGACGGCTTGGTGCAGCGTCTGCTCACCTGGCTCGTTTTTTCGCCACCCCGAGAAATGACTCAGGTTGATATCGACCGGGTCACTCGCCAGTTTGTGGACACGGCCCGCCTGATGGCCGACAGCGGATTCTCCGGAATCGAGCTGCATGGAGCACACGGTTACCTGATTGGTATGTAAATACTGTTCTCGCCACTGGTCGCAAGCTAATGAACAGATCAATTTCTGAACGCCAAGGTAGTTACGCCCAGTATTCGGATGAGCCACGCTAACTGAAAAAGTCCAACAAACGCACCGATGCATACGGCGGGACGGCAGAGAAGAGAGCCAAATTTGTGGTCGACATGATCCACGCGATCCGCGAGGTGGTGCCGCCGACTTTTGCTATCGGCATCAAGCTCAACTCTGCTGACCACAGCTCCTCGACATTTGAAGACACGATGACCCAGATCGGACTTCTCATTGAAGCAGGCATTGACTTTTTGGAAGTCAGCGGCGGCAGCTACGAGAACCCAACGGTCAGCACACGTTATTTGTTCATACTCATGTTGAGACTGACATGTCTTAGATGATGGGACCCGAGAAACGCCCGAGCACTGTCGCTCGGGAGGCATTCTTCATCGAATTTGCCACCGAAACTCGCAAGCGCTTCCCGGATCTTGTGCTTATGCTGACTGGCGGTTTCCGGACCCGTGCTGGCGCCATGTCTGCTTTGCAGCAGAATGCGTGCGACGTGGTGGGAATTGGACGCCCGGCAGCGATTGAGCCGAAACTGCCCTTGATTCTGATGGACGAGAGCGTTTCGGATGAAAAGGCGCAGTTGGTGCTGAACCGAGTTCCGATGCCGTTCCTTGCACGGTTGCTTCCACTGAAGGGGATTGGAGCTGGATTGGAGAGTTCCTTCTATGCGAAGCAGATTAAGCGGATCGCGATGGGATTGAAGACATTTCTCCCGTAGTGCTGCTGTGTCGAAGGATGAGTCATCGGAATATACATGTATATCAGAGACACTAGAATATAGATAGATTGTTATTTAGAAATATAAATAGACATATGGTATAGACGATAGACTATCAAAAGCAAGCTGAATTGTATCATCGATGTCCCCAACTGGTTCACATTGTACCAAGATAAGCAGACCAGCACATTGCTTTGCAAGCCAAGTGAAACAGTGATATCGAATGAAAAGCAACATGATCTAGAACACTCATGCTGATTTACTTTTCCTCCAGCATTTATTGATAAAAAGTGTCTAATTAGCAGTATACCTCTCATCACCACACCACATAACCAGAAGCTACACCGCCCTCTCCACCGCCCCACTCCCAACCAACCACAGCCCCCCCTCACTCCCAAGCACACCCATTCTACCCGACAAATCCACCACTCCAATTGAATCCTATCCCCAAAATTTTCTTATCAGCCAAACCATCACCACCTTCACCTTTCACCCTTCACCTTTTCTTATTACCACCACACCCACCCTCCGAAAGTCCCTCCGGGACATTTAATCTCAATCAAAATGCCCCGCGCCCTCAAACACCACGAGAAAAAACTCCTGCGCAAAGTCGACTTCCACACGTACAAATCCGACAACAACCACCGAGAATCACAAATCCGCACACGCTACCACCTGCAAGACCCCCTCGACTACCGCAAATACAACCAGCTATGCGGATCCCTACGCCAACTAGCCCACAAGCTATCCGAACTGGACCCTGAGAGCGATCCCGTTCGCAAGAAGCTGGAGTCCGAGGTGCTGGATAAGTTGTTCCGTATGGGCATTTTGAAGCAGAGTCGGGAACAAGGGGCGGGGCTTTCGAGGGTCGAGAGGGAGGTTACTGTTAGTGCGTTTTGTCGGAGGAGACTTGCGGTGTGGATGGCGAGGAGTGGGATGGTGGAGAATGTTAAGACTGTATGTTTCTCTCTCTCTCATTTATTTTTTCCCCCCTTGGGGATATGGGGGTGGTTGTGTTTGGTAAAAGGGAGTGTAACGGTTATGCTAATCTGCTTCTAGGCTGTCACTTTCATCGAGCAGGGCCATGTTCGCGTCGGGACGGAGGTCGTTACGGATCCGGCGTACCTTGTTACGAGGAATTTGGAGGATTTCGTGACTTGGGTCGACTCTTCGAAGATTAAGAGGAGTATTATGCAATATCGGGATAATTTGGATGATTTTGATATGTTGTGATACCTCTATTGATTTCATTTTATTTTCAATTTGTGTGTGTGTTGTGTGATTTGGGGTTTGTTTGGAGTTTATGGAAAAGTCACTTGTGTATTGAAATATACTACTATATTACTGCTATGTTAGGCATGTGCTGTGTTGAATAGATGCATATGCATACTGGTGTCTGTATAATTCGTATATCATTATAAAGAATGCATCTAGCTGGGTATCAAATGCAATCAATCATCCGCCGGAAATAAAGCACGCTGGGACTGATAACAACAACTAAGGCTATAACTCCAGGAAATGGTTAAGCAGTCTTCACTCTCCCTCCCATTCGATGAATCACCGTCTTCCGGCTTAATTTGAAACCCTTCGGAAGGGTCCCTCCCCGCTTACTTTCGCACTCTTCTGGTAAATCCATGCGGAACCGCCGTACACTCCCCTCATAGTTCCCCTTCCCGTCCTTGCCCTCTTCGAAGAACGGCGTGCGGTGGTCTCCGAATTGACACCATCGCGGCGCTACTCGGCGCCAGAATCCACGTACTCCACTGCTGGCGCGGTCGATCTTTTCGTATTCGCGCCTCCGTGTGGAGGGCGATGTCCAGTCGATTACTGTGACTGTGGGTTGCACGGGTGACGTGCATGCTGGCTCGTAGGCTGAGAAAGTAGCTGCGCGGATTGGAGCCCGTGGGGAGTCGTTTTGATTACTTTGGTCTTGGTAGGTCGAGATGGAGAGTGGTGTTCGTAGAGTAGATGGGGAGCTGGCGTTGGATGCAGAGCGCAGAGGGCGTGGAGGTGTTCGTGATGTGCTGGAAGATGGGGGTCGAGATGCTGATACTGATCCTGATACTCGTGGGCTAGGTTTAGTTGTAGAGAGGCCGTCGTCTTGAAATAGACGGCATGATTCACGATGCAGAGCTATCAGGTCTTCACGCCGGGCTGTTCGATCGGATATCGGTGTTATAGAAGCTGTGGTTGCGGAGCGACGGTGTGAGTGGAGGGAGCTGTGTTGGCTGTGAGGGCTGGAGCGTCGCGAGGAGTGAAGCTGCTCTGGGGATTTGGTTGTTGTTGGTGATGGAGGTGAAGTTGTTCTTTTGCGTTTGGAGGTGCGTCGACTATTTGTTTTGGAAGATGATGGAGTAGTCGTGGTGGTGGTGGTCTCCATCCCGTCGGAGAGCTGCTCATCCACTACTGGGATAGATACGATGGGCGGACTGCCTGCCCCCACGGTGATATCGGTGACTTCGAGAGTGGTGGCGTATACTTCTTTTGAATTAGGGTCGTTCACACCGGGTGAGACGATGGAGAGAGAAGGGACTTTTGTCATCAAATAGGAAGTAGGTGTAGATGTATGCTCTGGCGCTGGGCTGAGCGGTGGGGAAGAGATCGTAGGAGAAAGAGGACGATGGTTGGAAGAGCCACCAGGAAGATCGGGGCGCTGGCATGTGAACGTGGCCGCCATCGTTATTTGTGCCTGTGCCTGGCCTGCAACTCCAGGGCCGAGAACCACAGCGGGATGGGATGTGTTTGACTGAAGAATGACGCGGTCCAGCCGGGTTCACATGCTCCCTGCCAAATGGCACCAGTCAGGAGAGCAGTGAAGAATGCGCGATCAACAGCGGGTGAACATGCTTGTGCTATAAACAGAAATAGGAGAAAAGCGATCGAAATAAAGATGGGGTAGAGAGTAAAAAGAAAAACGAAAGGAGGAAAAGGGTGTGTTCTATGGGAGTATGTCAGGAGGACAGAGAGAACCCGATAAGATTAGGGTTCTGAGAGGGGAGGGGGGAAGTAGTAGTTGGCTGCTGGCAAGGGACAAATGATGAGGGTCAGTCGATCTTCAGAACACGAGGATCATCAGCACGTTTTAGGGATAGTCACGATGTACAGTGTAGGGGTTGCTCTAAGAAAATGAAAGACAGGGGGGAAGGATTTGCGGGATGAATGAATGCACCTGGCAAGGAAGGGATGAATAGATAGATAGATAGTTAGTTAACTAAGGGGTGGGTTCGAGACAGGTCTTATTATAAGTAGAACTAGACTACGAAAGATGAACTAAAGGTTCACCGACCAGGCATGCCAACTTCGACTTTAGTTTCTTTGCAAGCGCCTGCAAGACCCTCCCCGGCGGCAGACCAAACCGGTTCAATCTTTAAACACGGGCTACTTTTAGTTTAAGAGTGTGGAACTGCCAGATGATCGTATCCCTGTGTAGAATCGGGGTTGACGCCAGTTCAGCAAACCCGTCCTGAAATAGTCAAGCACGAAGCATAATGAGAAATCGAAACAACTTGCTTTGAAGGCCCAAAGAAAGAAAAGCCTCCCCGCATAGTCTCTCGCCCGAAAGTTAATACTATTGAAGATTCAGTGTGATAGGTCCAAAAGACCGATCTATCATCTTTTGTTCTCTTCTTTGCAGCGGGGCATGTCACCACCCCCCGTGTTGTGTGTGTGTGTGTGTGTGTGTGTGTGTGTGCTGCTGCTGGTGAGATTTCCTCCCCCTTGCAGTTCACCAATAAGACTCCCGGATAATACTAACAAGAGGGATTAGTACTAGTAGTTGGATCATGTCCCTGCATGTCAATGGAGTGATGGTCTCCAATCAGCACCATCAGCCACCAGGGGGGGGATCAAGGTACCTTTTGGAGTTTCCCACCCGTGGAAATATTCTAGTGTCCCCGTTTAGCCCCTCCAGCTAAATCCTTCCACGCGATGGTGTGAATGTTAGTGAGCTGGATGATTGCACCATTAATTGCCCTGGCAGACTGGCAGTAAAGTACTTCAGTTAGTACCTTCCCTTGCTTGCAAAGAGGGGGGCCATTGGGGATCCAGACTGTGTCCACTGGGGAGTGTGAAGCGAATCCATTGGATTGTTTACTACTACTATCGACTTAGTGTCTCCTGCCAGCCAATCTGTGGTTCGTCGCCCCGCCCGTCGCTCATTCCACGGCTGCTGCTTTTTCACCGCCAGTTATTGCAGGCGCAGATGAGTTCAACAATAATTTATGGAATAGTCTGTTTGCTAGAATTTTGCCGTGAATGAAGATAGTATACTCATTCTGATAGATTCTACTGAAATTAGTTCTCTCAATGTGTAAGTGGGAGTGTGTGCGTGTCTTAAATTCTCCCCAGACAACCTCCCCTCCTCCAAGAATCCAGTAAGCGCTATCTCAAACAGCAACATTCCCTGTTGTGAAACCCCACCATGACGCTGCCTGCAGATTACTACTATCGTCACTGCATCCAAGTTCTGCCGCAATTTTGGGTATCCTCCCTCTTGTAGCTTGTAGCCTGACCGAACCTTCCAGGCGCCCGTATGGCACACAAAACTTAAAACTTCCTGCTTCCCAAACCACATCGGCGCTATCTCATGTGCCAGCATTGCCAAGCCCAGTTTCACTTACCGCCATTGCCCTCCAATGACTTCCACCACACCGCAATCCTGTGATCTTCATCTTTCGTGATCCAGAACTGTGCGGTGCTACTTTGGTCGCTCGGGCGAGATACGTACCATTCCCGCTGTGCCTTCTCCATACTCAAGTGAACTACTAACCCGGGGATGCAATACTAGCCAATCGATTGACAATCTTCGAGAAACCTCCCCGCCAGATAATCCCCGAAGCTGCGTGGCCACCGTCGATCTTGGCTTTCCACCACTAGTGACGTCTTGGCATGCCCTACGCTCGGCCTTTCTCTATAATTCTCTGTTGGTCTGCATGCATATAACGTGTCGAGAGGTCTTGAGACAGATAGCACGTGGGTTACCAGCATGGGGGCTGGGATTATATCTACGTGGTATGTGACATGAGTAGACCTGTAGAACTAGTTCTATTCCTTTGAGATGCTATATCTGCTTGCTAGTATTGAGAGGCTGGCTGGCGCTTAGTAGTCAGTAGTACTAATAGTATATATTTCTGTAGCCTGATGTGGTACTAATATCGACATGATCAAGCGGAATTGCATTCCTACTACAACGTCACTATGTCTCGTAGACTTAGGAAGCCATGCTACAGTAGTAATATAAACCATACAATATATGAACGGCTGCTTCTATATTTGACTCAGTTCTCTCTTAGCAACCCGTCGGGAAGTCCCTGATTTAATGGTGATGGCTGCCGGAATACACCTCCGTTGTTTAAAGCTCGTTTTTATACGCCCGAAATACTACCTTGTATTCGCTGGTGTCGACAGCTTCTGTTTGCTCCAGGATATCCAAGTATTCTTGGGCTGTTATAATGTAGGATCTGTTGTTTCTTCTTATGTAGTCGCGAGGGTTTTGAGCTGCTATAGACTCGCTTGCTAAAGACTCATCAATTTTTGTGATCTTGGCCGACGATAGACCAGGGAGAATCATAAAGCTATGTTATGTTACTACTAATACCCAGCTGGATGTAGTATACTTCACTGGGTAGGAGCCTCAATTCTATACTTAGACCAGACCTGGTGAAAACCTTGGCTCTCGGCTGTAGTACCATGGAACTCATTCAACAAGAACTATAGCGACTCAATTCGGCCGAAGCTATACCTCGAGAGTAAACAATTCCCTACGAAACGTGAAATCTCCTACTCCCATTGTGGGGATGGAGCAGTAACACTCGTCTTGTTGTATTATACTGTACTGTAGTTCTTTATTCCGGTATTGAGGCTGTTCTGCTCGTGAAGTGACAAGACAAGGTAGTCGCGTCTCATTACCCGATACGGCAGGTGTTACTCCCATAGTAGACTGACTCTTCGTCGACCACTTCACTCCAGCTTCTTCCCATTCACACCCTGACACAACCCAAGGAGAACCAAGTTGCAACATTGACAATCTATGTGGATATACAGCCAGAGCCTTCTGGCCATATACTCCCGTTTTGGACTCATCTACAAGCGTTTCCCATGGATTTGCAGAGCTATAGGACCTATTGTTAGTACCCAACTCCCTCATGTTGCAGAATCCTGATGCTAACGATACTACATTTACGTCCAAATCTGCTGAGATTTTCATGGGATTGCTACCATGAACTCAGAACTGTGACAGAGTCATATCAAGCTGGTTTATTCACCATGTCGTAAGGGAAAGATTCACTGGTATTTAAAACTCTTCCCTTGCCCCCCCAGAGAGGCTGGAAACTTCTTCTCCCACATATTTCTGCCATCTCTTTGCCTTTCTCTTCCTCTTCTTCTTCTCATCTTCTCTTCCATCTCTTGACATCTAACTGCCATCTACTTTCATCTACTTGCCATCTCTCTACTATCTCTTGACATCTACTTTCATCTATCTACCATCTATTGACATCTATATACCATATCTTGACATCTATCTGCCATTTCCTGCCATTTCCTGCCATTTTTGCCATCTACTGACATCTATCTGCCACATAGCCTACCTTTACTTACCAACTAACCTTCCAGATCTTCTAGTAGGTAATCCCAGCTATTTCCTGTCACTTACCCACTCATCTATTCCATATGTGTCTTGCCTTTCTGTTTTTGAGCGTGACTGACTTTGGTATAGGACACTCTGACACCACTGGCCTTGGTTGGGTGGATGGGACGGGCCTGGGAAACCTCGACACACGACTAGACACAGTAGACCAGTGAGTATCCCCAGTTATCTACTGATATTTGCTGACATTCATAGAACACCCACACGCGACTGGCCTTGGTTGGGTGGATGGGACGGGCCTGGGAAACCTCGACACACGACTAGACACAGTAGACCAGTGAGTATCCCCAGTTATCTACTGATATTTGCTGACATTCATAGAACACCCACACGCGACTGGCCTAGGTTGGGTGGCTGGGACGGGCCTGGGAAATCCCGACACACGACTAGACACAGTAGACCAGTGAGTACTCCCGCCTAACTAGCTGCTGAAGATGACTGACTTATGCAGAACACCCACACGCGACTGGCCTAGGTTGGGTGGCTGGGATGGGCCAGGGTAGCGACACTCAAGTAGACACAGTAGACCTGTGAGTACTTCCCTGATGAGCTTCTGATCATACTGGCTGACTGGCACAGAACACCCAAACGCGACTGGCCTAGGTTGGGCGGATGGGATGGGCCAGGGTATCGACACTCAACTAAACACAGTAGACCTGTGAGTACTTTTGACAGACCTCCGATCATACTGGCTGACTGGTACAGAACTCCCACACGCGGCTGGCCTCGGTTGGGCGGATGGGACGGGCCTGGGACAACAACACTCTCCTGACACAGTAACCCACAGGTAGCACTCTCCTCCTGACCAGCTGCTGGTAAAAATGGCTGACATGTACAGAGCACCTATACTATACTGGCCTAGGTTGGGTGGATGGGACGGGCCTGGGACAACAACACGCCACACACAACACAGTGAGTACATCCTAGTTGGCTTTCAAATGTCTTTTGATTTACTAATCTTGCACAGGCTCATCAACATACCTGGCCCCAAGGTAGGGTGGCAGGGACGGGCCTGGGTTATATATATACATACTTTCTACTAACCCAGCACAGTGAGTGTTCCCTGGCTTGACGTTCTGTTTTACTGACTCTTCACAGGCGCGACAACACCTCCGGCCCCAAGGTAGGGTGGCAGGGACGGGCCTGGGTTATATATACTTACTTTCCAACCCAACACGGTGAGTGTTCCCTGACTTGGAATCCTGTTTTACTGACTCATCGTAGGCGCGACAACTCTTCTGGCCCACGGTAGGGTGGAAGGGACGGGCCTGGGACAACAGAGCACAACTCGACAACACAACACAGTGAGTATTCTCTGATTTGTTTACATCGTCAGTACTGACTTCGTCTAGGACTCATACGGGTCTGGCCTCATGGTTGGGTGGATGGGACGGGCCTGGAAGACCATATTATATATACTTACTCCTATATACAACACAGTGAGTACTCTTGAGCTGAACTTCGCTTTTTTGCTGACTTACAATAAGCGCGACAACTTCTCTGGCCCCATGGTTGGGTGGATGGGATGGGCCTGGAAGACCATATTATATATACCTGCTCGTTTATTACACAGGGGCTTACAGTAAGTATTACAACCACAGCTCTCCTTGCACGTGCATGTCTAATATTCTACAGGCTTCAGCAACAAGCCAGGCCCTGGTTGGGTGGCAGGGACGGGCCTGGGCTATTCGACGCAATTCAGCTGTCGACATCGGACACAAAGGTGTCATACCAGCTGCCACATCTGGGCATGACGGACTTTGTACAGTCTTCTTGAAAAGCTTCTTCCAACATCGGTTGGGTGGATGGGTCGGGCCTCGAAGGTCATAAGTCGCCATTGTATTTTCGACTTTTACAACACGGCAAGTACTCGTGTTCCTGAACATGACTCTGACTTATCTGGAAAAATAACTGACTCCGTGTCTACTACAGACCTCAACAACAAACCAGGCCCTGGTTGGGTGGCAGGGATGGGCTTGGGTCGTAGCACGTAGACATCGGCTCAGTACTAGATGCAAGTCTTCCCATTTATGGCTCACAGATAGCAGTGTGACTGACTCTTTACAGCCTTGAGCGAACCAAGGCGCGGTTGGTTGGTAGGGACGGGTTGGGTCACTTCGGTGACCCGGCACTGGGGTAAGTCCTCTCATTCATCGCTCACGGACAGTAGTGTGGCTGACATCAACAGCCTCCAGCGTACCAAGCCCTGGTTGGCTTTCAGGCATGGGCTGGGCCGCTGTAGTAGACATAGGTGACCCAGCACTAAGTGTAAGTATTCCCATTTATGGCTCCTGATTAATATTGTGGCTGACTTTCTGCAGCCTCCAGCGAACCAGGCCCTGGTTTGGTTAGCTGGCTGGCACAGGCTGGGTCACCGGATTCAACATCCAACACACAGTTAGTCTCCTCTTTCAGTTCTCTATTTCATAGTTTCTGACATTTAGCAGGGTTCACACAGTGAACCAGGCCTCGGTTGGGCGGTCGGGACGGGCCTGGGACATCGGATTCAACATCCATCACACAGTGAGTGCTCCCTTCCACTTCCCCCGGGTGTATTGTATGTCTGACAGGTTGCAGGGTTTGCTGCAGCGAACCAGGCCTTGGTTGGGTGGTCGGGACGGGCCTGGGACATCAGATTCCACCATCATCACACACAGTAAGCCAGCCTTTCCACTTCTGATTGTAGTGTGTTTGACTCTTAGCAGGGTTCGCAGCAGTGAGCCAAGCCTCGGTTGGGCGGTTGGGAAGGGCCTGGGACATCGGATTCAACATCCATCACATTGTGAGTTAAGCCTTTCACTTCTCATCGTTCTGCTTGTAGTGTGTTTGACTCTTGGTAGGGTTCGCTGCAGCGGACCAGGCCTCGGTTGGGTGGTTGGGACGGGCCTGGGACATCGGACACGGGGGGGTGGAGGGTTTGGATCAAGTAAGTAACTCGATCTTCGGCTTTTATATGGTAATAAGGACTGACTGCCTTTACCTCCATGGTGGAGCGAACCAGGCCCTGGCTGGGTGGCAGGGACGGGCTTGGGACGTAGTTGTAGACTTCGACAACACAGCACTGGCAAGTATTTCCATTCCCATCTCACTGATCGTAATTGGCTGACTATTCAGGTTTTACCGCTCCAACAAACCAAGCCTTGGTTGGGTGGTAGGGTCGGGCTTGGGATATCGGATCCATCATTTAGTGAGTCCTTCGATGTCCGACTGCCCTGATCGCATGTGTGGCTAACTACAAATTCCACAGGCTCACTGCAGTGGTGGACCAGGCCTCGGTTGGGCGGTCGGGATGGGCCTGGGACATCGGACACGGGGGAGGGGGGCTTAAGTCATATGAGTGACTTACAGATTAGGGCTAACTGCCTCTACTTTTGCATGGCCCCAAGCCTTGGTTGGGTGGCAGGGATGGGCTTGGGCTATCGGATTCAACATCCCACACAGTGAGTCTTCCCATTGGCTGCTCGTTTGATTGGATTTGTCACTAACCACGTACAGAGTCCACTGCAGTGGTGAACCTCAGGCCCTGGTTGGGTGGCTGGGACGGGCCTGGGACATCGGACACGGAAGGGGGAGGAGAGTTGGGGAACATGGAAGTGAAGTTGCTAGATTCGCAGAGTTGGGACAAGACTGCATTGTCGACTAACTGTAGAGTGTTACCCGACAAACACATCATGCCTTGGTTGGGTGGATGGGAAGGGCTTGGGATACCGACTAACCACAACAGCACAGTAAGTCTTCTATCTCATTTTCCTGGATAAATTTGTGGCTGACTATCTACAGTTCACCACTGCAGTGAACCGGGCCTCGGCTGGGTGGACGGGACGGGCCTGGGTCATACTAACTAACTTTAGCAACATAGTAAGCTTTCCGAATTATCTCTTCTTTATAATGTGTGGCTGACTGACTCTACAGGGTTCACCACTGCAGTGGACCAGGCCTCGGCTGGGCGGTTGGGACGGGCCTGGGACATAGGATCCAACATCCTTCATACTGCAAGTCTTCCAAGACATCAGGTGTTTCTTGATAGTATGTATGACTGACATCTGTAGGGTTCACCACTGCGGTGAACTAGGCCCTGGTTGGGTGGCAGGGACGGGCCTGAGTCATCGGACACGGGGAGGGGGGGCTTTGGGTCATGTAAGTCGTGGTTAAGCTATCGCTTGGTGTTGGTAAAAGAGCTGACAGACTACACCTTCTGTATTACTCCTTGAAGAACCAGGCCTCGGATGGGCGGTTGGGACGGGCCTGGGCATCGGATTCAACATCCACTATACAGGCAGGTCACCCACTCTATGGCTGTCCAGTTGCATGACTGACTTCTACAGGTTCACCACTGCAGTGAGCCAGGCCTCGGTTGGGCGGCTGGGACGGGCCTGGGACATCGGACGCGGGGGAGGGGGGTGTAAGTAATATCTGACGATAGGGTGAAGGGTTGAAAGCATGACTGACCGATTGATCTTTTCGCATAACCTTGCAACGAATCACGGGCCGGTTGGGCTGTTGTGGTGGAATATGATCACCCATCGTTTGGTATGTAAACTGCCAACAGTGGATTATTTCTAGGAGACCAGTGTGACTAACTGAGCACTAGATTGTTTCCTGGGACACACACTGCAATGGAAAAGTATCAGTTCAGAGGAGCCGTCTAGTACACTTTCAATATAGACCATCACTGAATTAAGCCATTAAGCCATATTTTGTGCAATACCTGGACTCGTAGTAACTATGTAAGGCAGACGGAACGTTGGTTGGCTGATCGGCGAGCTCAGAAGAGTAGCATGAAAGCCTTCATTTGCTGGTCGCTTGGCTTCTAGTTTGTGGCTTCATCTGCTTCAGAGCGACGTCTACGAGTACACATTCTGACTTGATGAGTTTAGTTAATGCGTATGAGCTCCCGTCAGCAACATCCCCAGACAACTTGGAAGCGAAAATAGTATCATTCCAAGCCAACCATAGTCCTAAAAGGAGAGCCAAAGCGACCTACTCGGCTACAACCACATCATAAACACCCGACTTTGCCATAACATACAGTATCTACAAAATATCTCTCACACCGGCATACACTCGCCTAGTGAAAAAGGCCACGGAGAAAATTCAATGAGCGAGATAGACTAACTATAATTATCAGAAGCAAAAACGGTAGCCTTCGCGTACCGAGTAAAAACAAGAAAGCATGTGTATTGATTCTACACTGTACTGTATACTGCCAAGTGGAGAGATAGATCCTAACGTACCGTCCCATTGAGAAGATCTTGAAGTTATCTGAGCGAAAGCAGTATGTCGACGGTAGGGAGCGGATATGGGTCGAAGAAGAGAAGTAAATCGAAGGGAAGCGGACTGAGGCCTAGGAAAGGAAGTAAGATAGAATAAAGGAATGAATGAATGTATTACACGCGAGATCAGTTTATGTTAATTGAATAAGTGGTAGGTAGTAGGAAATTGGCCCGGTCGCAGGATGAGGACAGGGATATTTGGCTTCATTGCAAGTACTGGTTGGGTCAGAATAAATTTACTTGAATGGTACTGGAGTAATTGAGGAAGAGTGTATGTGGTTAAGGGGTGGGAAAGTAAATCATGATAAGGATAATTGATTCGATCGTGGTCGGGATCACTTGTTAAACGGAAGTAGATAGTGTATGTACATTCTGGTAGAGAGGCGATGTTGTGGAAGAGTAGCCTACTAGCAGATGGCTGAGGATAAGAGTAATGGCATTGTTTACCGCACCAGGAGAATCAAATGTCTTTATAGTTCTGCACTCGTGGCCTTCCGTCCAATGACTCTATAATAGGTATACTGAATATAAGAGCCCTCTCTGGTAGCCTTGGCTGCGTCTCGAATGGTGGCCCTCAGTTCTTGGATTTTCTGCTCGTCCATATCTTTGTTTCTGGTGGAGACTTCAAGGGCCACGATTGCACACTCGAACAGGGATTGTGCGATATAATGTGGAGGGTCCCTGCGATCAACATCGACGTCGACGAACTTTGCTTCTTGGAAGCGAGTCCCCAGGTCTGGTACCCAAGAAGTGTAGAACCTTTCGTCGTTGCCTCGAAGGACAGTCTCAAACCGCTTTAATGGTTCGTCGCTTATATCAGGTCGAAGCTTTACCGGTCGGATTGAAGACATATCTACATCGGTCCATTGAAGGTAGCCGCCTGGTTCTGTTCATCGCTTTAGCTTAGATGGGAGGTCAAGGTAAGTTGCTGGGTATTGGGGGCAGTACGAACTAAGCAGTCGGGATAAGTTATTCAGAGCATCCTTGATCTCAGAGTTTCGAAGGACAATGGCGAAATATCGTACATTGACTAGATCGTACGCACCGACTAGATGCTCGGGGACGGGGGATTTTATGTCCCAGTAGTGCAGGGTCACGTTTGGTGGGAGCCATTCGCGGAGAGGGGCAGCATCAAGCGAAACATCGAAACCATCCAAACGAACGGAGTTTGGTAGCTTATTGGATAGGTCTGTGAGCCAGATACTGGAATTCTATTAGCTGCTGAGTATAGTGCATGTGGCTGGTTGCTTTGTATTCGTGACGGACTTACCCGGTGCCGGTCCCAACATCAGCGATTCTCATTTCCGGGTTCTCTGTGCTGATATGTGGGTGTATGTAACCTTGGTAGACTTGTCCTACCAACTGATGCATGGCATTGATACTATATGGTATGAGAATGGGTGTATATAGCGATAACTCTTTGGGTTGACAGGTCTTTAGCCATACCGGACGTTGTCAAGCCAGCTCCTGTCGAAGGCATATTCCTCAGCTGCAGACGTAGTCATTTTTTTCTTCTGAATGCATACGATATACTAGGATTGCAAATTGTTCAGATTGTCAGCAGGATGCGCGCGATAGAATCAATCAAGGGTGCTGGAGAGAGAGGGAATTGGGGTTTAAATAGAGAATAACGCGGGGATCTGACTCGACGATGGACCATTCGGAAAGCTGCTGTTACACGTTTCTTTGCCGATCTATCTTTCTCAGCTGACCAGCATCTCTCTCTCAAAGCATTGCGCAAGGGTCACGTTATTTTGCAATATCCAGCAGTGGATGCACCTCGTGCCAGGCCATATCTTGACGCAATATCTTCTCCACGAGTGAAGATGTCTCTAACCGACATGTCACACCTGTTGGGCTGATCTGCATCATTCAGCAGGCTTTTGCTCAAAGCGTTCATAGCCGATGTAGTGATAGAGCCAGATAGGCGTAGAAACGAGGTCAAACGACATCGAAGTGCGTCCAAGTGTGGTTGTCAAAGCGAGCTAACAAAGCATCAAGCAGAGCGGAAGAGGAAGGCAAAGACGTGGACAGCCGTGGGATCATCCCAATTAGGAAGCCTGCAGCAATTGATAGAGGGCGTGGCGATGCTTGCTGTTGAAATAGATTGGATACAACAGAAAGCTGAGTGATAAGAGGATAACGCTTTGGGGGATTCGGAAGTCGAAGACACATAGCGCCCTAGTCAGACTTTTAGCTCATCAGTATCAGCCATTCAGGATTTTAGGTTAGGTCTGTGAAGATATATCCCACGCACTGCACGGAAAGTCAAGTGAGAGTTGTATTGCGTAGAGAATCAACGGCATGTTGGCATCCCTCACGGGCTGAAGAAAATTATCGCCTTCCAATAGGATGAAGTGGAAGAGACTACCAGGCTGCAAGGGAAGGTCAATGCGGAACAAAACAGGAAAGACTATCACCAAACGATGCAAACTCTTTCTTCTTCCTACCAATCACTACTTGTTATGAATAAAATGTGGTGGGAAATATTGATAAAAATTAGAAAATCACGAACACACTATCTCGAGCCGATCACTACTAGCCATCTAGACGGACATTTGAACTGTGTCCGTATAGCCACCAATCCTCGCATCGAGTCACCTTTCAGCAAAGAAGCGGCGACCACTTTTCCATTGGGCCGGTATATTCAGCAGCATAATCCATAGCCCACCAAACCGGGTCCATGCAAGCAAGTATCATGTACGTGCTTATGAAGTTCAGGCAGCTGCAGTCGGTGTACTTCGTCTCGTATGCTTTACCAAGGAGCGGCACGCGATCTGCCCAGGAGGTCTTCTTATCATACTCATGACAACCAGGACAGGCCTCAAAATGAGCCAAACAGTTGCGCAAAAGTTCGTCATACCGATCTTTGTTGCGACACCGGTTGCGGAGGTCAAAGTCGTGCGGATGAGAGCTAGGCGGTAGCGGGTTCATACTGTTGAGAAAAGGGTCACCGTAAAAATCGTCCGTGGGCTGATTGTTCGCATCGTGGTGTACCAAGTTGTCAAAGAGTATTGGGGTCCTATACCGCTCCATGTAGACCTGCCAAGCCAGGACACGGCCAGCAATGTAAATTGCCCAGTCTGCTTCATTATCAACAGCCCAAGCCCACACATCAATGCAAAATCGGCGGAACATGTTGTTCGCCGGCACACCACGGTGAGAACCGACGATTGTAATGATATTATAGAACTCATTGGCCGCGTTGTCATGCCGGTAATCGCATCCATCGTGCATGCATAACTTTGCAATTGCAACAGCATCGATAGTATTGTCATCTCCAATCAGAGAGCCTTGCTCTAGTCTTGCTTCCAGAGTCAGAGCCCGAGCAGCAGAGTTAATTAGGCGATAGCGGATGCTTTGCAGTTCGTCTTCTGGCCCTTTCATTTTCTCTGCCTTCGGGTGAAGAATGTCAAGATAGGTAGACTGTGCGGTTGCCACCCAGGCATCCATCACCTTCTGATGTTCTCCACCATGGGGATGGCAACGATCAACATGAGCGATATATTCTACCAAGCGCTGGGCAGACATTTCAAGCACTGGGTACATGTCCTGGCAGAAGTGATAATAATCGGGAAACGAGGCTAAGATGGCGCAGGTGCCAGTTCCACGCAAGCAGTCATTGCAAAAGATATTATTATCAACTAGGCACCAGGAGTATCCATATATCACCTCAGCAATCGCATGCCAAACCGGAGTGTCTGGGACATCGTACGCCTCAGCCATGGATCGCAGGTGGACTCTTCCGCGTGGAATCAGACCGGCGCGTGGAGGCGCCTTGACAGGACGGACAATGTTGGAAAAGTCCTTCAGGATGCGCGTCCATGCCAAACCTTCTTCCTTTATAACTGATCTCATGTGCGTGTCGTAGCATCCTATCGGGTTTTCTGGATGAATTAGTTGGGGCCCAACACTTGGGACCCAGGATTCTCGGAGTCCAGGAATCTCCAAGATACTGGATACCACCTGCTTCCGTGTTTCGTCTCCACTTTCGACACAGTAGAGATTGGGTCCGAAAAGGCCTATCTCCATGCTGCGTTGCTTTGATTGATTCAAATGTCAATTGAATGAACTTTGAAAGTCAAGACAAAGAGATTTCGTGAAAGGAGATGATCAAGTTCGTCCCAACTACTTCAATGCTCTGAGATCAAGAGTCAAAACCAAGTAATATTGGGGAGCATATTTATACTCATACTGTGGACAAGTTAACCTGGGCAAATCTGAGCACTGATACCAGTAAGGGGTAACTGCCACCGGTACAGAGATTTGCGTGAACGGTTTCAGCGCTGCAACTCTTTCTGCAATGTGATAGTAGTATCCGACCCCTCCTCGTAGTTCGTTGGTAATTGTAACGGAAGGGGGGGGGGGGGGGGGCGCTTTGCATTAGTTAGCACACTTCTAAGTAGGTGCATATGTTGTGAAGGCGATCTACCTCTGCCAGCCACTACAATCTATCAAAACACTGCTGATCTTAGGCATGTAGTCACGCTCTTTGACCATGACTGGGGCCGTTGTTACATCGTAGTTTGGGAGTTATCAAAAGAAAAAGCAAAGAAGGGGGACCGAGCGGGAGCAGTTCGTCTATGGAGTACTAGTTTTAGTATTGGATCTGCTAGGACAGTGTCTCAGTTCATGTATGCACCTTCAATCACAATCAGTATCCAATAACAGACTGAAATGTAATCTCACGAGAAATGACTTGGAAGCCACATATTCATCGTATATCGTATTCATCATAGGTAAAGGCTTTCGTTGGGCGGTTTTATTGAAGGATGATGGATCTGTGCGCTGTGAGGATGATACTTCACGCATGGCGAATAATATTGAGTACGCTGCTATTCTTCGAATCTATATGGACCCACTCACCCTCTACCACCACTACTCAGAAGATAGTCATGAGCACTGAAAGCATATGTGGTGTCTTACCAACCATAACAAATCCAATCAGCTCCGATTAAATCGGCCTGACGAGCGGGTGCCAGTTGGCATCCCGTGATTTTAGAAGTTCATCTTCGAAAAGTACTATGGCAAAAGGCCCTTTGCGTAGAGAGTTGACTTATACCAAGAAGATGAAAAGTTGTTTCAAAGATCCGAATTCAAGTCCATCTATTTAATGCTAGCTAGATGTTCACTAATGCGCATAGGCAGCTAGTATGGGTCTCTCTGGAATCTATCTACCCATGCTGAGCTCGTCTGGATATACTAGGCAAGCTTCCATTTATATGCCTGGCACATTATCGTGTTAATACCGTCTTCGAGCAAACAGCTATCTTTTCTGCTTCAACTACATTGCCGAAATGGGCTTCGAGCGTCCGGCCATGAATCATGTATTGCTAAACCGAATGCTGGTTGCAGGTCTTGTGAGCCAAGCTGATGCATTGTTGGGTTCTGTTGTGCTCCTGTTGACGATTTCGCGGTGTCTCGCCTTCGGGCTTTAATATAGTGGTCAAGGATATCTTGACCACATGAATGGGTGCCTGAAAGGCAGAACTAAACTCCGACGGCAAGTATTACTTTTTGGAAGCGTGCAAGACAAGTAGGACCCTGCTCCGAATCCCCGACGGCACACTAGTAACAAAGAAAAGAAACGAAGAAAAAACAATCAATGAGATGGACTTTTAAAAACGATCAACGGCTGTGACTGGCACTCCAATTGCTAGTCAAACCAATTCCTACGTGGACAGAACCTTTGTCGATCCCACTCACACAGAGAAAAAGCCCCTTAGAAAAAGCCCATGATTTCTGAGCAGAGCCAGCCGACAAAGTGTGATGATAACGGTCGGAATTAGCCTGACTTGTGTGTCAGCAAGAGATAACATCATGGTTGTTTGCCGAATGTCCTGGTATCAGAGATATCGATGTTTCGGCTCAGCTACTGTTAGTATCCCCGCATCGGCGCCAGAAATATCGCCGACAGGATGATATCTCCCCTCACGGTGCACTAACTATGAAATAACACCGATTCCATAACTAGTGTCAGCTGAGTGGATGGTGCGTCAACAGCGGATGGTTTTATTAATGGTCATTCGATTTGATGATTTGATGACGAAGTAGTCATGGCTTTGATTCTTCCAAGGTAGCGATCGGTGGTAGTGGGCCTGAGGTTTGGATGTGATCCACTGCGCTGCATCCACCGCAGTCTCGCTTTGACCGATCGGATGAGTTACGGAAACCCTCTTTATCCCATCTACGGTTGCATCGATGGAATACTGGTGTGTTAGGGGGGTTAGTATTATTGACCTTAGTAGGAAAATGAGCCATGAGAATTGGCAGGACATGTCAACCACCGGGTTATGTGATATAGTATCTTCAGTATTGTATCATCATAGCTACTATGTACTTGACTAAAGGGGAATACATCATCACAAAAGAACATTGTGATCAGCAAATATGGTATTAGCAGGCACCAGGCCTTGGACGAAAGTAATTCAGCTATTCTCACAGAACATAGACAAGTTCGTGGTTCTCCCAATCGGTAAGATCCATCCATCTGACATATGGTTAGATAGGGATTCCACAATATTGAGAATGCTTTGACTTACTCTTGGTTCTCCATCGGCGCGTACCCAGGGCTTGCACGGATACGTGCCTTCTTCTCGTTCTGTACACGGTACCACCACCAGATGAACGCGAGAATGAACAGACAGACGCCCCAGCAAACGATGATGGTAATTTCTGCAGGAACATAGCGTGGTGCGTCTTGGGGACGGAAGACTTGAGGGCCTTGATTATATCAGTCAGTTGTGATGATTCTTGAATACGAACCGGGATGAAAGCATACCGATAATGTTTCCTGCACAGTATCCAATGAGGTAGATTGCCGCAACAGTCGTCTTCTTCGTGTAGCCAGCTACATTTGACGAAATCATGGCGAGCAGTGCCACAAACGGCGTGGCGCTTGCCAGCGTCATGTAGTAGCCTAGTAACCGACCAACGTTATTCGTAAGAGGGAGTGCAACAACGAGTATCATGCCGATAATGGAGGCTATGAGACCGCCCGTGCTGCAGAGCAGCCGTTGGTTGGTGTACTGTCCGAGGAAGCCGCTTCCGAGCAGGGAGATGACTTCGATGGCACCGGCGGGGACACCGTAGATAAGACTCTGTTCTTCCGTGTATCCGAAGCTAGTGATCTATGGCAGCCAGACTGGTCAGTACATGGTAGGTTGAACAGGGTAAGGGCAAACGAACCAATTGGCTGAAGAAGTTCGTAATGCCGCCGTTGGGGATATCAGCGATAAGGGCATAGAAGAAGAAGGCCCATGTCATAGGGTCTAGCAAAGCTTCCTTCACTTGGTGAATCTTGAAATGCTTGTTTCCGATTCCTTGCTGATTGACACGCACACGCGCAAGGGCAAGGACGCGGTCTTCCTTCTTGAGCCATCTAGCGTTGAGCTGATTGTCTGGAACGACCCAGAGGAAGATCAGTCCCAGACAAACAGTCAAAAGGCCAGTAACAAGGAAAATAATCTTCCAAGGCTCAATGGAAGAGCCATGGCGGTCGGTCCCGACGGCGATACCATACGCAACCAAGCCACCAAAAATCTGACCCCATCCGTTGAAGCTGAACCAGATGTTGACTCGACTGCCTTGCTCTGCTTTGGTATACCACTATTTATGTGTAAGAGATCTGAAAATTGGCTGAGCCGGATGGTTGTGACACTCACCTGAGAGGTCAGCAAAGCAAAACCGGGGGTGACAGACGCTTCAAAGACACCGAGAAAGAATCTAGAGGATAGCAATCAGTAAGTGAAGTGAAAAATGCTTCGAAGAGGCTAATTACCGAATGGCAATGGCGCCAGAGAAGTTATTCACTGCGGCAAAACAGCATAGGATCGCTCCCCAGATGATAATGCAAGCGGCAGAGTACTTTCCTAGTGGAAGTCTCTGGAGCAGCCGGTTGGTCGGGTATTCCCATGCCAGGTAGCCTTCGTTGTGTCAGTCCAGTTTACCACATATCCTGTTGCTAGTGTGTTGGACTAACCGAAATAAAACAGACTGCCAAGCCATTGGTAATCGTCGCCGACGAGGTTCAAATCTGTCTTGATGCCCATAATACTAGCATAGGATAATGTTGTCTCTGCCGATCGTTAGTATGAACGTTGGGAGGCTATCGTGGAATACACTAACTGTCTAAGAAATTCATTCCATAGACAAGACACATGATCGGCATGATGTGCCAATCGATTATCCGAAGTATCCTTTTGTTTGTCTCCTCATCGAGTGTGATAACTTCACCATGGAGGTCTTCAAAAACCGCCAGTGCCTCGTCTGCATCCTTCGCGTGCTCCGCAATTGTCGGGTCAATTTTCTCTGTTGTGCCAGTCTCCTCATCCACCGTCATCGGTGGGGGGGACTTCTCAGTCTTCTCATCCGCCATGTTGAACCTGGCTCAGAAAGGAGGGTTGATTTGGTGACCGCAGCAGCGGGGAAGAAGGGAGCAGTTGTTAGTAGTCGTCGGAGAAATTTCAATCTGGCGACAGCTGTCTCCTTTTAAGGGATGCCAGCTCATTCCGAAAGCCCGTCATCCGATCCCATCGGAAGCACAACGAGGCGAGTTTCTTTTATCAACTTGGCGCATGGGCTTTCACTCGCAAACCTCCGGTGATAAGCCGCTGGTCAATGTCATGTTATCTGGTATCAATCTGGGGTAACGGACGAGGAGCTTATCGATGGAACCAATGGGTCCACGTCTCCCAGCCGAAGGCCCACTTAGAGTGTCTTGGGTAGAGATGAGGGGAAGCACTGAGATGGCTCATGGATGTCTTAGTTAGTAATGATGATGAGGGGAAGTTGGAGGAGATCGCGAGAAGGTTGGGGCGACACCAATAGGAGACCAATGAGGACCGGCATCGGGGTCTTATCCATTGGATGAAGTAGCCGAGAGAGCAAGCTCGAGCATCCAACTAAACTAGTAAAGTTTCACGGGAGGCGATAGGACAAGGATGGGAATGGAACGATGGAAGGATAGGAGCTGCATGGATCGGCCCTTATCACGCGACGGACATGGCGTCCAACGCCCGGATGTGACGTCTGGGGCCTCGGGCTGGGGTGACTGTCTGGGTAAGTTTTGCAACGATCAGGGAAGAAGCATTGCCAGAGGGCAAGGCCTTTAATCTCGCCATAAATATCGGAAGTATCCTACTTCAATTGCAGTAACTGGTTGGGATGCAGTTGAAGCCGAGTCAGCATTGCTTATCTGCGACAAACAATTAAGCTTATCACCGCCCTTATCAGCCACCCGTCGCCATTTGCTCTACGCAAGAGTTACTCAGGACTACTTCGCAGCCTGCTTATCTGCATCAAATCGTCGTACCGCATTGATCCCGGTGCCACACACAATAGCTTGCAGGATCAATACCGTTTTGACATCCGATGCCGCAGTCTGACTACCCGTGCTCGACATTGGTTCGTATCCGTATCGTAGCGGCAAATTGCATTTCCATATCATTCCCATCAGAACTTCTTTTCTCATTTTATAGTATTTAGTTTCCGCCGACACGGGCCAGGTACGCCTCCCAACCTTCCTTCTGGTACTGTTGCGCAGCCTGCACCGGGTCCGGCGCGGCGTAGATACCGCGACCCGCGATAATGAAGTCAGCACCCCGACCGATAGCCGATGCGGGCGTCTGGTACTGCTGACCGAGCTTATCTCCCTTGGACGAAATGTTCACACCAGTCGTGAAGACCACAAAGTCCTCCTCATCCGAAGGAGAGCTGACTTCCGACTGCACCTCACCCAACGAGCGCGTCGACACAAATCCCATGACGAAGTTCTTGTATTTCCGGGCATAATCAACCGAAGAAGTAGTGTACTGGCCGGTGGCCAAGGAACCCTTAGAGGTCATTTCCGCCAAGATCAACAGACCACGTTCGGGACCGTAGGCGAAGTCCGGTGCAGACGCCGTCTGAGCGAGAGCCTCAACGATACCCTCGCCGGGCAGGATGCTGCAGTTGATGATGTGGGCCCATTCAGAGATGCGGAGGGTACCACGGTGGTATTGCTTCTGGACAGTGTTGCCAATGTCAATGAATTTGCGGTCCTCGAAGATGAGGAAGTTGTGCTTCTGCGCAAGAGCCTTGAGGCCCTCAATGGTCTCGTTGCTGAAGTCAGACAGGATGTCGATGTGGGTTTTGATCACGGCGATGTAGGGCCCGAGACCTGCAGTCCGGTATCACCGTTAATAAGTTTGCATGCAGCATAATCAGGCAGAGTAGCGGGTCGGCCTACGGTCAGCAAGATCTAGTAGCTCCTTAGTGGTGGTAACGTCGGCCGAGACGGTCACATTGGTCTTCTTGGCCTCAGCAATTTCGAACAGCCTCTTAGCCAGAGCATTGGGGTGCTTGCTGGCACGGGCAGTGTAGGTCAATTGTGACTTGGAGGACATAGTGTCGGTGGAGGGTTAATGCGGGGATGAAAAAGAGGGTTGTATAATGAGAGTAGCTTGGACTTTTGACTGATAGGCCCTAATTGGTAGATCCAGAAATGCACAGATACTACCGAATAATTTAGCAGCGACCGACCCTTGTATATGAGGTGAAACAAATGACAACGTTCAATGTCGAGAAAAAAAGGAAGCTCAGTAAAATCATCGCGAGCCCCTCCACGCACCAGCCACATCGGGGGTGGATTGCTCCGCCTCCGACCCGTGGGGTTCAGCCACACCTGCAAAGGCGGAGTTCCTTTCCATTGAATGTGCCACACCCGAGGTTCATTGGAGCTCGTATTCTCTGCTGCACATGGGGAAATAGACCACGTCAATCAAAAAGCCATTGTCATTGCCGACCCTAGCAGTACGCAGAGTAAATGCGTTGAGTAGTATACAATAGTAGAAATTATTACATATAGCCGGTATAGTCAACATCGCCAATCACACCCACGAAGTCAATCCGAACTTAAAAGTAGGAAATCAATTCCCTCGCGACTCCAAAAGAGGTCAATCCCCAAAGAGCTCCCTGCGCAAGCAAGTAGAAGCTGCCGTACAAACGACCGCGACCCCGCGGCTTGCCGGAGTACACGTATCCGTAAAGGAACAGTGAGCGACCGAGAACCCAAATGCTTCCAAGGCCAGTTGCCAACTGGGGGTACTTCAATCCAGCCACCAGGATGAAGAGCATAGTTTGACTGGAGTTCTCAAGGAAGTTGGCATGAGCGCGCTGGGCGCAGTTGAACTGCTCAGCCTTGGGCTGCACGATTGGGAATGTATGTTAGCTCGAGGAATCTTGTTCGTCTGGGGTTGGCTTACGTTGGTCTTGCACTGCTCTACAGTCGCATAGCAGTGAGGGTAGGGGCAATCGGCGTCCTTACGGAGACGAGACACGACGGCGCCATGGACGAAGCTCAGGACGGGGATGGCGCCCAGAGCGACGGCAATGACGGAGCTGCAGGATGATTAGCATCATGCTATATGGGACCAAGTGGCATTGTTTGCAGGAATTGTAGAATTGGCACATACCCGTAGTTTTCAGGGACGGTCAGAGTAAGCATGGTGGGATATTAATTTGAAGTGTTCTCAATTTCAATCTGCTATGACTAGGCAGTATTAGGAAGTCTAGAAGAAGCCGAAAGTGATTCAATTTATATAGTCGGCGATTGATGGGGCGCAAGAGCGGCCGGATGCGGATCCAGAGCATCCTTGGCGGATCCCTGAAGACCCGACTCCGACAGCGTTGCCATTCACACCCGGAGAATTAGTCAACCGCGAACAGAACACGTCCTAAGATGGGCACTGCAGTAAGCAAGATGAATGGAACAGAAACACCTAGAAGCTTCTGTTGTGAGGAGCGCCAATGGTACAGAATCATTTACTTTGCTTGCTTTGCTTTCCGGCAAAAAAAAGTGGCTAAAGCTGATGGCATTTATTTACATCTATGGCAAACAGTAGTCAAGTACGTGCCACTACGTTCACATTCGACTCACACTACCATACTTCGCTTGCCAGGCAAAGAAGTACAGCAATGCTCCCAGAGGCTGGCCGACAAGACAGAAACTAACCCAGAAAATGGAATTGCCTATCACCTTCCCAGTAGGGTCTTGGATCTTCTCCAATGGGGCCGTGATAATAATCAGCGGTAGTTGAAACATCATGCCCGCAAATGCCACACCTGGCTTGGTTAGTTTGGGCCCAAAAAATAAAGCGGGAGGATGATGCATACCGATGAAATTGTGCGTGGGAATACCCACAAGAACCTCATGCAGGATAGCAGAGAGAGCGAAGACAACCGTGCTCGCCGCAAGAGGATGCCACCCACGACCAACAAGCGGCGAGTAGACATGTCGCTTCATGAAGAGGTATACAGGCCGGTTCCATGACCGCCAATACACTCCAAGACTGGAGCTATTCCACCAATCAGTGTAGAACTCACGGTCTCCGAATCGCATCACCTCGGCCAAAGCATTCAGCAGTGACTGGAAGAGCGCAAAGAACCCGGCCAGCCAGATGATAAGAGAGATTGTGGACAATTTCATCACGCGCTCTAGAATAGATGCGATGTCCATGACGGCAATCTTGTCGATCGAATTGCGCAAGACGGGAGCCGCATACTGAGCAGATAGAAGCCAGATGAAAACGGCTAGGCAGAAGAACTCAGACAGGCGCTTGGCCACGAACGACCACCGGATGTGTGACGACCTGGGATATACTGGCTGATAAACTAGCGTAGGTGCTAACCAAAAGTAGACCAGGTTCCCCAGGGTGATATTGTTGGGGTATGGGCAAGCCGAATATATTTCCGGGAGGGCGGATTCGACAGAAGGGTTGAGCATGGCCTCGCGGAGGTCGCGATTGGTGAAGGCATACGAACAAATCTTGAACGACACAATAAGAGCTTGAAGCTCACAAAGGGTGCCAATACCTGGGTGGTGAACATAGAAATACACGACAAAGCTCGTAATTCCCAAACTCAGAAGGGTGTTCACGCAGTGGAAGAAGGCGGAGATCCACCATGTGTTTTTGAAGATGCGTTGTTCGCTCTCATTTGCCTCGGTCGACCCGTCCTTCTTCTTCTGGCCAACAATATTCTTAGCCTGTCTTGCCGCAGCCAGCTCTATGAGATAGGAGACGTAAAGGTGGAATGGGACGAGCGCAAAAAGAGCGGAGCCGAGCACAACATCCTGCCTCCGATAATCGTGGCATCTGATGCAGATTAAGACACCATACTATCCGAAGAGGTCAGCTAGGCTTGCATTGTTGAATGTTGATTCGCAGTTATGGCTTACTTTCATAAAGTTCTCAATGATGAGTCGGAGGTTCATTGCGACTAGATCCGGAAACAAAGCATTAGCCAGAAGCGGACATACGGGTAAGAAGGATGGGCAAACCAACCCAACACTATGACCATAAGATTTCGGAAGCCCAGGAAACTCGCCGTGACGTTGGGTTCGCGACTGAGACTGGAATGCCGAATTTTCGAATGATAGGCTTCCACATGACGATATTTGCTTCTCCTTCTCCAGTTGGTCTTGGTGGCGCCATTCGTCCCTTTGGGAGGATGACCGTTGGAAGCTTTCCCGTTAATGGGCTTTTGCGGGGATGTGTGTATGTCAGTCCCAGTACTGATAGCAGTACTAGGGCTATGTGAAGCCTCTTGGGTAGGAGACATGTTGATTTTGTTGTGGGAAACGAGCCACCTTTTACAGTGGAGTTGGTATCACAAGCCCGAAGTATAGGGAGACTTGTAGTTAGCAGCTTGTCTGGCCTCGGTTTAAACCAATTGCGGGAAATAGCTTAGAACGTAGGACACAGAATCCCACCAGGGTGCGCTGTCCACGATGGACATGACAGAAAACTGGACAAGTTTCAGAGGCGAGGGAGGAAAAAGGAGGGATAAGGTAGTTTTTAAATACTAAGAATGGCCACAGGGAACAGCAGCGGGGGTTGCAGGGGAAGAACGCATAATTGCGGCGTCGCAACGGCCTGGCCTCAGGCCGATCCAGGCCGTTGCGGGCCTAAAATTCATGGCAGCGCAGCGGCTGGCTTTGTCGCGGCCAATGACGGTCGCGCAGCCAAGGGCGGTTGCTCTTCATTCGACGCTCCGACACCCAACGCCATCACCAAAGCGACAATCAAACCAAGCGCTGCTCCTGCTCCTGCTGCATGCACGACATGGTCGATTGGCTCTAGCTGGGGATCTTACCACCAGGTTGAGCATCGGCTAGCTGTCATTGCTTCCTCCCGTTTGCCTCCCCTGTCATGCTAGCGACTGTCTCTCCGCTTCCTCCGTCATCCTTTCTTTCTTCCCTGTAAACCTACTACCTGCGTCCGGCAGTGCGCTTTGTCGCAATGGCTTTTTACGATGACCCTGGGAATGATGCCCAGCCATTTGGGAGGCCTCCAAAATCCTACGAAGGGGGAATTGCTGGGCCGCGACGACCGAGTACGTGTTATACGATCCTTTGTCCTGATGCGTTGACATTTGTTTACCCCTCTACCTTCGTTTTCCGTTCGGCGAAGTTAACCGTCAATTGTAGGACTCGTGACGGACTATGGATCATCGATGGTACAATGGATACGCACACGGAAACCTCGCTATAAGGGTGGTCATCAGATTGAGGTGGAAAGGCCTAGTGCAAGCTATGTTGTGGATGTAAGTGCGACAGACGTCCGCGCACATTCTGATACAACTCCTCGACTGACATGAGCGGATTTTTCTTTGTTAGATGCTCCCACCTCTTGCCCGAGTCCATTCTCCAGCGGACACGATCCCAGTGCGGCATTTACATCAGTCAATCGGAAAATCGAAGAAACCGATCACTGTCGTACGATGGACACCGGAAGGAAGGCGCCTGCTGACGGGAGGCCATACGGGCGAATTCATGCTCTGGAATGGAACTGCCTTCAACTTTGAAACAGTCATGGATGTGCGTGTTGCTTGGTTGCGATTGTTTTGCTGGCCGACGATTCGTTGCTGATGGTTGATTAGGCACATTACGACCAGCTGCAAGCTGGAGTCACCTCCTTAGCTTGGTCTCACAGTCATGACTGGTTGATATCCGGAGGACAGAAGGGTGACGTGAAGTATTGGCGACCTAACTTTAACAACGTCGAGACGATTGATGACGCACATCACGATGCTGTTCGCGATTTAGCTTGGTCACCCAGTGATACTAAATTCCTCTCCGCTTCCGACGACACAACGCTGAAGATTTTCGATTTCACTGCGAGAACTTGCGATACCGTTCTTACCGGTCACAATTGGGATGTCAAATCCTGCGACTGGCATCCCACCAAAGGCCTGCTTGTGTCTGGATCCAAAGACCACCAAGTCAAGTTCTGGGATCCGCGCACAGCAAGATGCTTAACAACGCTTCATAGCCACAAGAATACCGTCACAGCGACGAGGTTCTCCCGCGTAAACAATAACCTTCTAGCTACATCATCTCGGGACCAAACGGCGAGAGTTTTCGACTTGCGCATGATGCGAGATATTTGTATCCTCCGAGGCCATGAGAAGCCCGTCTCCTCTCTAACATGGCACCCGATCCACAGCTCTCTCATATCTACTGGTAGCGAGGACGGCTCTCTATATCACTATTTACTTGATGAACCAAATTTGCCCTCCGGGCAGATCCCTACAATTGCGCCATATGACAGCAACGACCCGGCTAACACGCCGGCGCAGGTGATATACCCTGCCCACAAGGTACAATACGCGCATGGTGCCACCATCTGGTCCCTCGATTGGCATCCTCTTGGTCACATTCTTGCATCCGGATCTAAAGACAACTTCACACGGTTCTGGTCCCGTGCCAGACCCGGGGAGACTAGCTACATGAAGGATAGGTTCCATATCGGAGAAGAAGCGGCGGAAGCCCAGGGTACATGGAGCCGGGGCTTTGGACGGCGGCAGATGCGTGAAGAGGAAGAACAAGAACTTCAGGATGAGGCGGAGAGCTTGGTCGACCAGAAGAAACCGGCCGGTATGTCGTCTCTTCCTGGAATTCAATTCGCACCACCTGGCGCCGCACCACAGCCAGACGGGATGGGTTCGATACTGCCAGGGATTGGGGCTCCCCAGCCCCCACCCCAGCCGGGGTTTTCCAATTCTATGACACAGATGGATCCTGGGCGTTTAGCAGCTCTTTTGTCGAGCCAACCGCCCCCTCAGCCGAACAATTTCCCTCCTACGACTGGATTGCCAGGGTTCCCCATGCACCCTGCTATGTCGGGGACACCTCCGGTGAACGTTGACTTAGCGGAACTGCAGAAGCAGCTTCTTTCTCAAGGAATATCGCTGCCCCAGAACTTCCCGCCGCCAAACTTTCCTGGCATGCCCGGGGGACTTCCCGGCCTGCAAGGGAGCAGTACGCCCGACCACGGATATGGAAGATGATTCCAGCTGCGGCATCTAGTGCTTAAATATTCGGTTGGCCCGTATAGATGGGGCAATGCCAGGTCGCTCGGTTGCTGGCGTGGCCTCAATAATTTTCAGCGAACATTATGTATGTATTATAGTCGGTTTCGACGAGGATCTGCGCTCTCGACCATAATAAGACGATCATGCTGTCCGTGAGTACCTGTTATCGACACAGCAGGTAAGGGAATGTGAGGGAATGTGGTGTGGCCATGAAGGCACCTCGATTCTTCTTCGGTCATAGTCCTCCTGGGATAGGGAAGCTAGATAGGATAAGGACCAACACATTGATACCACCCCACAAAAGGGGGATCCAGGTCGACATCCTGAAATTACCCGCTTCATAAACTGCACCTAAGCTATCAAAGAGTCAGCTGGCTGCCAGTAGTATGTAACGTAGCATCAGAGGACTCACACGAGGCCAATGATACTCCCCGCTAAAAGCGCCTCCAATCCACCTATGACCATGTATACTAAGGGAACCGCAAGACAGGCTTTCCAGCTTCTGCATTGCATGGCCACAGCCCATGCCGCGACCAGTAGATGGCTTGCGCCATAGAAGATCAAGGTCCAGTACAGAGTAAAACGCCAAATGTCCTTGTTGTAGTAGAGGTAGTATGCACCAGTACTCTTCGTCGGGAAGAGCTCATAAAGGGACGGAAAAGGAGGCGTTTGGTAATTGATCGGAACTCGATTGTCGGCCATTGGACTGCGATACGGCTACCTGGCCTGCCACAGGGACTAATTAAGAGTCATAAGATGAGCACGCCCTGGTAAATCGGCCGACAGCCACTGATGCGGACATATACCACGGAGGACAGAAAGGGTCGCGAAGCTGATAAGATCCGCTCGGAACGGAGGAGCTCGTGGTTTGCACTGTTTGCACCCGGCGCGACGAACCTCGGCAGGTGATCTGGGGTTCTCCGCGGCAACTGGAAGCAGCTGCTTTCCGTTATCTCCCCATACCTCTCTGTCAGTCTCACTTGGGTTGTGTCTAATGTCCACTTTACTGGTTGAACCGTTGAAGCCCCTTTGACATCATGGCGACTGAACGCTCTTTGGGTGCTCTTCTGAGATCGCTTCAATTCTCATCTGACCTTCAGGATGTCTTCACGTATGATAGCCTCCCCCTCTCCGCACCTCGGCTGCGCGGACGCAACTGACCGACTTCGCTAGTTTGCTTCCCACGGCGACCAGCCTTTTGACAGTCCTTGGAAACCCTCTGAATATTACTCTGCTCGCATCACAGCTGCTAGCAACTCCAGCCATTTGGGACCGTCCTGTCGATCTTCTCACGTGTCGCAAGATCCTCAGCATATTCAACACAGCCGCCATCGCGATAGTACAAAGCGAAGCTTCAGACGATTCGAGGACCCCCTACACAAAGGCCAGAAAGATCGAACGTGAGGACTGGGTCAAAGCTGTCATCAATGGTGCGGATGACAAGTCGCCGCGATGGAGACACACAATCTTGATTGGGGGGCTACTGCTGGGTTTCGAGGGACAGAACAGACAGGGGTTGCCGTGGCACGTTCGGCGGAAGCTGGAAAGGGCGCTTGTGACGGCTTCACAGCTTGCGCTTGAGGAGCTGGATCCCCGGAATGAGATTGACGGTCGCTGTGTCACGATGGTCCTCAACTACTCCTTTGAACTGCTGTCGGACTCCGAGAGGAGCAGGCTTGACTTCGACGTCTTGCTACCCGTCATGGTCAATGCGACCTATGCATCGCATGAAGGCCTGGAGGGAGGATACTTTCTAGGCACTGTGGACAAGGACATAGTGGAAGCTCCTGGCAAGCAATTCCAGTGGCTGGCGCAGTCTGACACGTTTGCTCGTGTGACGGCCATTTCATCTAGTCCTCTCGTATCTGCCCTAGGACCGCTCTCTCGGCTCATGGCGCACGCAATAGAGAATGCCAAAGATTCTGGTCTGGTCGCGCAAACGTTGGACCATATCACGGACTTTGTGCGTACACTCATGGTGCAGTGGCGGCTGAACAAGTTGTCGGAGGTCGACAAGTCCGAGGAAGCGGAGTTCCTCGACGCTGAGTCCTTGAGAACCACCATCCCGGGACTTTGGAGACTGCTCCGTAATTGCCTGTATTCCATTGTCATTGTCCTCCGGGCTGTTCTGGGAAGAGTAATCAATGACCCTGTGCTGGCTGCTCACCGCAGTGCTCCGTTCATATCTATGCAGGTGCTTCATATTCTGCGGAATCTCTACTTCATATCATCCCGCATGGGCCAAAACGCTTCTTCGCAGCACATGTTTGTGACCTTGACAGCTGTGGATATTCTATCACACTACCCCGATCTTGCCGAGAACTTCCTGAGAAGCATCAAGCCCAGTGAGCTCGGTCAGATCCCCGACCATCCTATTGAGCGATGCCTGGATTTGTTCTTCCTCAACACGTCAGAACTCTTCACTCCCTTACTATCTCCTGCCTGCAGCGAAGAGCTTCTTGTTGCAGCAGCCGTTCCCTACCTTCCAGCCGGCGGAAACAACCATCTCCTGGAGATTTTCGAAGCCGCCCACAGCACGGTCCTAGCCGTATTCGCTATCCCGAACAACGCCGCCGTAGCAGCCAAGCATCTCCCATTCTACATCGACAACCTGTTTGCTGTAAGCTGGCTTTATATTACTTCTATATTCCTCAAACTAATAATTTATTGCAGGTATTCCCCGAAAACCTCTCAGCCCGACAGTTCCGTCTAGCCTTCAAAACCGTCATCCAGGTCACGGCACCGCCCTCCCCAATCGCCAACACCCAACGTCTCCTCCCATCAATCCTTCTCGAAGTCCTCTACGAGCGGGCACTCCACGCATCCGACCAACTCCTCCCCCAACCCTCATCAACTCAACTCGACGGCCCCGACCTCGGCAAATCCCCGCCCGTGTCGGAACAAGCAGCGCTGACCCTCGCGCTCATCGACAGTCTCTGTTTCCTCCGCGTCGAAGACCTCGAGGAATGGCTTCCCCTCACAGCGCAGTTACTCAACAGCATCAAGACCCCAGATATGCATAAGCAATGCGTGGAACGGTTCTGGGAGGCGCTGAGTAGCGGCGAGATGGACGTTGAACGAGCACATTTCTGTGTTACGTGGTGGAGTACGCGAGGTGGAAGGGAGCTTGTTCTCTACGGAGATGAGTTCGGGGCCGATGCGGAGCATAGACAGGATGAGGCCGAGGGACAGGGACAGGGACAGGGGGCGTATATGAGTGGTGCACTTGGTGCGGTGGCGAGAGAGAGTAAGCTTTAGCTTCTCCCCTTGTTGTATATGGGGTTGTGTATACGGTGTGATTTTGCAGCATGGGGTCACGATAGCCACGGCGTTCATGGAGCATTGATACCTTTTGCTATTTAGCGATGAAATCCCACTTTTCTTTTTGAATTCCTTACTATAATATATACCATCATCCAAACCAAAAATCATACAATTCCTCCCTTCTTTACCAACTCCACACAGAACAATTGAATATGTATAGTCTCAAAGATACCAATACAAAGCACCACCAATCAATGAATCCCCGGAATCCCAACCCAACTCCTCTTCCTATACCGTTCATACTCCTCCCCAAAGAACGCAACCAAGAACTTCTCCTCCCCTACCAAAAGCCACCATTAGCACACACCCACAAACCATAAAAACAGAAATGGGGGAAGGGTTAATCTTACTCCAAATCCTCCCACTAAAAAACCTCCACAACACGACCGCATAGGCCAAAAAGCAGACACCATTCCCAAGAACCAACTGGGTCCCCAAACCCCACCAAAAGAAGCCAAAGTAACTCGGGTGTCTGAGCACAGAATACACACCCCCGGTAACCAGCACATGCCCCTCCCGACGGGTAACCTGCACCGTATGGTTGAAGTTACTGCCTGCTTGCGCCATGGCCACGCTGCGGATCGTCTGGCCCAAGACCATCAGGAATAAGCCAACGGCTACTTGGTAGCTTGTGAGCGAGGGGGGGAGGTATAGCGGCACCGGACGGGCGGTGAAGTAGGTGTGCGTGAGGAGACATTCGAGGATGGCGGAGCCGTGGGCGATGTGGTAGGTCCAGCCGTTGGAGGTGAGGAGGTAGGCGGAGACGGTGGCGAAGTGGGTGTTGTATGTGGCTGTGGTGTAGTATTCGAGGAAGTGGAAGAGGGAGAGCGAGGAGAGGAAGAAGGGGATGCGCCAGAGGGGGGTGTATAGGGGGTCGCCGTAGATGAGGGGGAGGAGGGTTAGCGTGCTGGTTAGGCCTAGGAGGATGCCGAGGAGGTAGGCTTGGAGGGAGATGCTGGAGAGGGATTTTGGGCCGTTGGGGAGGATGGAGGTGTCTGTTGTTGTTGTGTGGTTATTGTTGTTGGTGGGTGGTGGTCGGTATGGGCGGAATGGTGGTGATGGGGATGGGGAGGGAGAGGGGGAGGGGGAGGGAGGGGAGTGGGACATTGTTGTTGGTGTCGTGGTAGTTGTTGGTAGGTGTAGTGGAGGTTGAGATTTCTGGTGTTGTCAAGGAATTGTCATGCTGAAGAGGGCGCTGGATGGTGTTTATATGGAGTTGTTGAACAATCGCGGGAGTTTTTGGAGAACAATATTAATTGCGATCCAATGCGGAGGAGCTCCGGCGGATGGGCTTCTGATTGGTGGGTTGTGGGTACTTTGTACTTGTGGTAATGTGATGGGTCGCTGCGCGCGAGGAAAGTTGACTTATTCTATGGGAGATAGTTGATGTGTCTTGTGAAGTTTGTATGGGGAGATTTGATAGATGATAATTTGGAGAGATTGTCATTTGGATTGGGAGGAATTGCTTGTTATACTGGATATTGGAGAGTTGTGTGCTTCCTGCAAAATGACAAGTATGGCTGGCGATGCGGAGAGTAACTTGGGTTATCTCCAGACAGCTTGCAGTCATAATCACTGTACTTAAAGTCCGTGTTATTATGTATATATCAGTGGTATTAATTTCCCATCGATGCTAAGCAAGTGTAATCAGAATAGTAGGAGTCTACTAATCTCCATCATCCATTTGACGGCCCGCAGTGCTGTGCTCCGACTAAACTCCGGATTCACCCCGCTTTATAACGCAACAAAGGAATCACTCTCCGACTGTCCCATTCAAAATACAACCATGGATCTGCAAGAGAATCGAGAACGCATGCGCCGCGGCGAGCTCTATCATGCGTTTGTCTCCGATCTTACAGCCGATCGAGCGCGTTGCGCCAGTGCCTGTCGCCGTTTCAACAATGCGGGGGACGTGTCCCGTCGACAGTCCCTGGAGTTGTGGAAGGAGTAAGTGAACACAATAGAATCAATGTCCCCACGCCGGAATACAACCACGGCAGGCTCCACGCGGATGGAACAGTCTTCCACGGCATGGCGGATACAACCGGGCTGACAGGAACAGCATTGTGGGTGATACCACCCCTCTCCCGCCTGCCAGTCAGGATCCCGTCGAGGATGACAAGCTCTTAGAGAAGCATCCTTGGATTGAGCCTCCCATCCGCATGGACTACGGGTACAATGTGAAAGTGGGAGAAGGCGCTTTCATCAATTTTGACTGTGTCATCATCGACACCTGCTTGGTGACCATTGGGGCGCGCACCTTGTTCGGTCCCAAGGTCAGTCTCTATAGCGGCACGCACCCTCTTGATCCAGCCGTGCGCAACGGAACGCAAGGTCCAGAGTCGGGGAAAGAAATCCATATTGGTGAGGATTGCTGGCTCGCAGGGAATGTGACTGTGTTGCCGGGAGTGACGATCGGAAAAGGTGCGGTTATTGGAGCTGGAAGTGTGGTGACCAAGGTACGTTCGAGACTGCTTACCATTCTTGGGATCTTGTGTGAGGGTCAAAAATGGTCTTTGCTGATAAGGATGGTTGCCATGCTAGGATGTTCCCGCGTTTCATTTGGCCGTGGGAAACCCAGCGAGGGTGATTCGCAAGATTGAAACCTCGATGAAGGAGTAACTTGATCGTGTTCGTTGCTTGATACTTTTTTCGCAGTGATGCATGTGAATAGAGTTTGTGTCGGTCGTGGTTAATTGTGCGCTTAAACACTGAGGTTACCCAACGATTGTACATAATGGGATCTATCATAAAAAGGAATCTGCCGACTCGGCACAAGTCACACAAGCATTCTTCTCTGGTTCCCCGACGCGGCGCGTAGGGTTGGGGGGTGGTTAATTCACCATGATCGACAGCGCAGTGGGGTCGGAAGAAAAGACCCTGGAAACCAGCAGAATGGGGTGATGACACTTGACAACGGTGCGCGAGTCGGAACGCACTAATTGGCAATAACGGGTTGATTTGCTGGGCGTGATGGGAGATAACCCCACGCTAGGAAATGAGCTGGAAAGCTTCAAGTGGAGATGGGGGCAAATAAGCTCCAGGGGACGAGAGGGGCTCTAGCTGGGTTTGGAGTAGGCAGATGGAGGCAGATGGAGGTTGGCTCGCCTAAGCGGCGGGGAGGAATGCGATTATGATGTGCCCCTGCAGCTTCCCCTGCCTATCCAAGTACAGCTGGCAGGCAGGTAAAAAGCTACTACTAACTAACTATATAGGTACGTCGTTGGGTACTTCCGGACTATTTACTAAGTAAGTACTATCTTCCGCTGTAGGCTGAGGATGACATACAATACATACATTCTAGCCATACCACCAAACTGGATCCCCCGAATATTTTCTCCTACTTCGAGAATTTCTCCTAGGGCTGGCTGGTGGGGACAATGGGAAATAAATGGCCAGGGAAAGCCATGGCTAAAAACTGAGGCATGCACGAAATGAAACAAATGTCCGATAGGAACACTTTTGACGTAGTGATTGTCTTTCCGTGGATGACAGAAGTACCAGCCAACGGTAACACAGGCGCTTGGGTGGAATTCTTAACCAAGAGAAAGCATTAGGATGGGCGGCTGCTCCTCATGCGTCTTTATTTGTTCTGGGTCCAATGGCACCGATGGGTTTTAGTTTGATTTTTTTGCGTGTTAAATAATTCCTTTTTGTTCATTATTCGGTTCAAGGTGATTGATCTTCGCTTTGTTGGCAGTCCAGACCGTGTCCATTCTTACTCCATGCGTGAGAAACGAGGGTAATCATTACTACGCATACATACGAGAATTGGTAGCACAATTAATTCAGCGAACCGGATTGAGGGAGCTTCCAGGTAACAGTTGCGACTATAGTTTTCCTAATACTAGGCAGATGCGATCCTGGCTTTTTCCCCCCCACCAACCAAAGTTAGTGACTATCTTCTAGCGCTGCAGGTGAGAATCAAAAGGGATGTATCATGGAGTACTAGTCATTGATGGACGGAGTCTCCCGAATGGTAGATGAAAAAGATAATTCATATCTAATAAGCAAGACTCACTAGAAGAATAATAAATAGGTCGATTGAATCAAAGATCGATGGATGATTGGAAAGTAAAGAAAGTTCGTTATCCATCATTTCATCCAACCACTTACTTACTTTCCAGGCCGATCCCCGATTCGCCCTGGAACACCCGCCAATCCGTTGCTCCACCGCAACGTCAGAGCTGGTCCTTTCAGTTAGTGTTCTTCTGCTTGCTCTGCTCATCTTCCATCTCAATTCTTCATTGTCGCATTTTACTTGAACCATTTGTTCCCCCATCCCTCTATTCCTCTCCAGCTAGTAGCTGTTTATTCAGCTTTGGTCGGTCATCGACCTGCCCTCACACACCCTCTCTCTACTTCAGTTCCTTGGGTGTCCGAACAGCTATCGCTTCTCCGATCGCTGCCTCTCCCACTCACCCCTCTCAGCTGGATTTCCTTTTCCCGCATTGTTCTTATCCGCAACCCGACTTGCTTCTCTTCTCCCACACAATTCTCTTCCCTTCCTTGTGTGCGGGCGCTCGGTCTGCCGTCATCTTTCCTTCTTATCAATCGCCCCTAGAGCCAAATTAGATTCATTCCTCCCCCCCTCTCCATTCACAGTCTTGTCGCGTCCCCATCGGCCGGGCTAAGAAAATGTCATGGCAGCTGCCCCGCTAGAGAGCTCTAGCACCCCGCCTGAAACAACCTCCTCGATTGATTCGACGCGTCCCCTCGGTCATCCCATGGAAGAGTCGGATCCTCAATCCACCCGGAAACGCCCTCGTCTCGACAGTGGGAGTGGTACCTGTGAGTCTAGGTCCATTCCTGACGAAACCGCCGCTACTCGATTCCCCAACGACATCCCGGATGCTCCTGCCACAACGGGCCAGGACGCTTCTCCCTCCTCTCGCCCGGCCAGCCGAGTGGTCATAAAGCTGAAGTCTCCTGTGCCCGACAATATGGCGTCTGAGCCTGGTGACTCCCCGGTCGAGCATCCAAGCCGTGATCTTTCCACTCAGTCCGCAGCAGGCGGGACCGGCCTTGACGCCTCCACCGCCATATCGCTATCATCATCACCCACACAGAGCCCGGAGATAGAGGTGGCAGACCTGGAAGATATGGATCAGGACCCGAATACCTCTAGTTGGAAGTCATTGGGCGAGGCGATGCGCGAACCGGAGACCCCAGAGGTAGTGCAGCTGCATGACCAGCCGCCGCTGACGGAGACCTTCCCCAGACTGTTCATTGGAAATGAGTTGCGGGAGAATCTGGAGGAGATATGTGCGATGATTGAAAAAGGTAAAGCGCTCTTCGATTGCCTTACGCTGGCTTCTGCCGTGCCGATTCTGACAGTTATTTCATAGGCTCCCAACATGATACCCCGGTATTTGTTGCCGTGAAAGCTTGGTTCGATGACGTCGCAAACAATCTGGATCAGTTGACTCCTGAAGTTTTGGCGGAGGACCGGGACTTCTGGGAGGAGTTACCCACCGTTGTGGATAGCTTGTTGCGCAGAGTGTGAGTGACTTCTACGTGTTTTGGCCTTGGATAAACTCTACTGAGTTTGCCGATCAACCCCGCAAATCCCAAGTACTAACAGATTCTTAGCGTGGAGCTCCTGCCGAATGAGGGGCGGGGGGTATGGGCTTGTCTAGAAGAGTTCTTCCTCGATTTCGCTCATTTGGCAGTTCATGTCATTGACCTAGATACTATCCTCTTGACCCAGGCTGTGGATGACGCAGAGGCCCAAATATCAGACCCCTTATCGAAACCCTACCTGGTATCACTGGGCTGGATTCTGCAGCTAGGCAATATTCCTTTTTTCCGCACCATGGAGAATATACACGGATCGGACGTAGCGAATCTGGTCGCTCGTACGAACGATCAGGTCGCTGCTACATTAGATATCATCCAACACTTGTCCGATCATGCGGCCTGCATTCTGAATCTGATTACCCGCTGGTCTCAGCTTTCAACGTCTCTGATTGCGATAGTTAATATTGTGCATAACCTGATAGAATCAGGGAACGAACGGCGCAGATATCACGCCGACGATGCCTTAATAAATTCCTCCATTTGCTCTCGCACCATGAGGCGTGCTTACCCATTGATCCGCGCCGCAGATGAAAAATATCAGTTTCACATAACCAAGAAGTCTCCTTGGGTATCCAGTGAGACGAGCGACTCCATGCTACGCCACATTGCTTTCTCCTATACCACGCTATGCAATCGTGATCCAGAGCTTGCTTCACAAATCGCGGAGGATCTCGCGATAGAACTTTCAGAAGATGTAACCCCTGAGGACCGTTCCTCCATCATTTTCTATGGTTGGAAGTTCGGCGTCCTGAAGAAGCACATCATGGATGGACGAATGGAGCTGCGTGTTTTTGGTGTCGAGACAATGCAGGCAGAACTCGTCCATATTTGGAGGCAACATATCCACAGAAATACCGAAGGCACCATTCACCCTGTGGTGGATTATCTTGTGGGCTTCCTGCGACAAAATCGGATCGTTGAGTACATTGTGGGAATTGATTCTCACCCTCAGCTCATCAGCAGAAGTGGAAACATTGTCGGGTTTCTGGTCGTCACAGCCACGTATACCGATGCGGATACAGACACGATATGGGAGACAGTAACAGAAAGCCCTGATCCTCGAACCGTATCCGAGGTCTTAGGCATGTTGAGCAAGACTTTCCAGATGCATACCTCGAATTCGCCGGCTTTGCTCTACGTGTGCTCAAAGCTGCTAGATCTTCCGTTGGCGCGCTTTGATGCACGAATGGTAGATTTCTGTGAACAGCTTCTCCACCAGGTGAGAGAGAAATGCAGCGATAGAAGTCACCGTGAGACCCAGGATCGCATTCATGTGGATGCAATTCCCCTTCGTCTGTGCGTGCGTTTGATCCGTGAGAGCGCCGGTGCCAATGACTTCCCTGTCGAGCACAAGGCCCTTCTCCAGAAGTTCGCAGCCGCCCAGCTGAAATCTTTTATGGACATCGGCCTGAGTGAAGTTGACAAAATGGAGATATATGAGCAATGTCTCAAAGACATCGCTGAGATGAATCAGTTCACCGTGGGCAGCATCCAGGCCTTGAACGCCCTTCTTCCCAGCAATGATTCTTTGGAACTTCGCAAGCTTGCCGAGGAATTCGACCTGACTCGCTTAGTGATCACGGAGTTGGCTCATACTGTGGACATGAACCAGACCGACTTTACTGATCCGTTTTCTCTGACCGGATTCTCGTCAAGGGTCCATATGCTGGCCCGGATCGTTGATATGGTTCCGGACTCAATAACTCCGGATCTCGGTGATATGCTTTGGCGTAGAGTCTTCATGTCGAAGTCTCTTGCGCAACAAGGCAGACGCGCCCTCTGGGACATGCTCTGCGCAACTACCCGGTATAGCGCTCAAGCCAACTCACTCGTTGAGCGCTGTATTCAAGTCTACCTACCCGAGCTCTCGCCCGCTGAAGACTATCTTCCCGAGGTTCTTCAGTTCGCGAAGCAAACGATTAATTATGAGGTCCGGTTCAATCCCCCATCAGTTGCTGGCGAGAATGAGGTCGTAGCGATACCGGGATTGGACCGGATATGGAGCTTTATTCTCACAGCTCCCCCTGGGACAATTGAAACGGACGCGATCACTTTTGCAATCGAGGTTTATCTTGATCATAGCATCATTAATCGGTCTCCACGGTCGGCTGTTGAGGCTACCCACATTGCTCTGGTGGA